TAAAAAGAGGTAAAATCTACAAAACATATTCAACAAAAAAGCCCACTGTGATTCATATTTTCCTTATGCTAATATTTTTCGCGTCAACATTCTCATCCAGAACCAGCTATTGCATCCTATTTCAAAATGACATAGATATGCAAACCCCCTTTTCACTTAAATATTCAGTATTGGTGGTTGCTCCACCACCCCAGCCGTAGTTTCACTGGAGAATATTTGGGAATTACATGTTGTCTTCAAGACATGCCAATTACATTACTGTTAACGCAAGCGTCACGCGAATTTACATTTGTTTGAATGAATGTCGGTACCCGTGACCGTTTTCTGGATTAGGTTTTTCGCAGTACCCTAGATGTCGCATAGATCCGGTGAATGTCTCTTCCATTCGGCCCTCCTACCCCGAGACAGATGTACAAGCATGACGGTTGCAAAAGCTTTGACGTTTTAAATTACACACATTTATGGACTGAGGGAGTACAAATTAACACGCAATGCATGACGAAGCTTGAAAGTTTAAATTGCGTGGGTGTAAAATTATATGGCATCAGTCACTTAAACATTCGCTGGAGAATTGGCGAGACGAGTACTCTGAACGTGATGAATGAAAATACTCCGACTAAACCGTTTCATGACGTGACATTTAACAGTACTTCACTTTTTCGGCGGGTGTATATTTTTGTAACTGTTAATTGAAGATTTATTTACAAATAATAACCCTGTTTTCAAGTTTACTGGATCTGAACATTTTTATTACTCACATTGCCATTGATGGCATTAAGTTATATAACCGTAAACGTTAAAGCAAGGACAAGGGCGTCAACTATCTAAATGTGCCCTTCACAAGCAGGTAATGCTATTCTTTATGGCTATAAATAGATTGTACTTGTCATGAAAGAACATGTCGAAACAGCAATGGATACTAAGAATCTTCACACACCTGTTATTCCCGATTGCGGAAGTTCCTTATTTATTGCATATATGTATGTGTGATACATGGCCATGAAGATACGTGTAGACACCTGGTCTGAGCATGATGTGATGCATGTTCTGTTACTTTTTTCTGCCAGATACATTGTCCGAGTTAAGTCAGGTAGAAGAACTGTTGAGGTTTATAAAAGAAATAATTCATGTAAATATACTCTCCCCAAAAAGAAACGCATATAGGCATTTCAACTGTATTTTTATGTATATTTCGAAACATCTTGTAGGCTTTATGAGTCAATGAAATATAGCGCAATTGCACACTGGGAATGCAGACTTATCCGTCTTTGGCACCAACTCGAGGAAAGTCAGTTTGAGTGTCACATGGAGACGAATCTGACCACCTGGGGAACGCAAGCGTCGGCGAAACGTTCACGACATCGACGTCTGTACACCCGCATTCTTCCATCGCGTCGTTCCAATAGAAATCGTGATTCATCACTGAACCAGATTTTACGCCAATTCGGTAGGTTCCAGGCCTGAACGTTGGTGCATCATTGAACTCGATGTCGACGATGTTGTTGTCGAAGCACAGGGCCAAAATAAGGTCTTCTGGCACGTAAACCAGCCTCTCAACCTGTTCTTGACGGTCTGTGCAGAAAGCCTCCTCAATCCGGGTATTTGTCGAGCGGTACTGGTCGCCGTAGCTGTTCGATGACGCAGGTGATGTACCCTGATGTAGCGATCCTGCGCCGCAGTGGTCGCTCGAGGTCGCCCACTACGAGGGGCATCTGCTACCGAATTCTGCCGGCGATATCTCTCCCAGAGCCGTGAAATGGTGCTTTGGTGAACATTCATGCGTCGGGCAACTGCACGTTGAGACTGGCCAGCTTCAAGCAAACCAATGGCGATATGACGGTTGGCTTCACTTAGACGTGGCATTTTGCGTTCGTCAACAATATTCCAAATACAGTGAATAATCGACAGACAGCGATCAACCTTTTATACCCATCATTGAGACTATCTGATCCCCAACATTCACGTGCATTGCATGTGAATTGTGTATTCTGTGACACTACACGCCGAAATTGAAAATCATGCTGTTAAATACGGGTATTTTACGGATGGTGCGTTTTGTTGTGATGTTTCAAAACATAAACACCATAGCACTCATAAACAGAGCAAAACCTTTTGTAAAATGAATCACGTTTTAATTCATTGCTACATGAAATTGGTATTTTCATGATGCGTTTCTTTTTTGGGAGAGTTTATTTTTCATGTACTGAAAGTTGTTAAGGTTGCTTTGGGACTCGAAACACCACAAACAGTCAAGAATTGAAACGTTATAACAGCAATAGCGATGTATAAACAAAACATTAAACAAACAAAAATGAAAATAGTAAAAACTATAGACACCGTAAAACATCAAAATTTAACTTATTACAAAGAACAGTATACAGATTTATGAAAATCCCAGAGAGAAACTGAAACTTTATAAAAAAAATTAATTTGTTCCCATGATTACAAAGTCAAGGTATACAGTAACAACGACTGACTGACTGAGTTAAGTTTAACAGCAAATTCATATCACGGCGGGGACACCAGAAATGGGCTTAACACATTAGGAAAGGTGTACATTGTTGTAAAGATGTAATTATGATAAGTTGCTGAATATTGGGATGAGTGAATTCCATTTAAGATTGATTATTTCAATTTTATTCTTTCTCTTTGAAATAATTTTTTTCTACAGAAAATATCTCTTTTAATACGTTTTTATAATGTATGAACTTTGGAATTGATTTTTTAAATATTATATAAACTGATATGTTTTTTGGCAGAGATAATGATTTGATCTGGTAATGCATCATTATGCAATGTACCAAACCAAATCAAATATTTGTTATGTGTATTTTTCGTGGTAAATAGTTATTAATCCAGAGTTCTAGATCATTCCAGAATTTCCTTCTTTCACAACATTCCCAATAAACATGACAATTGCTCTCAGAAACATCATTGCAAAAACTACACAAAACATTGTCAACCAGATTCATTTCCGATGCTTCTTTTTGAGTATAAATAACTCTTTGCAAAAATCTGTATTGAAAATCAAGAAATTTAACATCTTTCGATCCATGTCTACAGAAGTTAAAAAGTTTGTGTCAATCAAATTAACAATCATTGAATATTATTTCCCATTTAGTACAAATCTCAAGTTTATCATTTTTAGAAATCAGCTTGTCATAAATAATCTTGAACCATTTGAGGGCTTTAATAAATTTCTTTGGTAAACACTGATGCATAAATTGTAGTAGGAAGGAATGATTCTTGTCCTTTAAATAACATCTTTCCAAATACCAGGTAAGATGTGAAGTAGATAGTTATAGTCAAATAGTGTCCCTCTTATTTTGTATTTTATCTTTAACTTATCAAAAGGCATAAATCCATGTTCATCACATAGATCCTTTACTGTCAATAAACCCGTATCCGCCTAGTGTACAATAACATGGCAAGGGTTTATATCATTATGATTGAGCCATAATGGTTCTGCAAGAATGTGATAAATTCTGTCACGATTCAGCATTAAACCTTTTGCTAAACATTGTAATTGTTCCATGCTTTTAAAACATCTTTCCAATAAGGGTTTTCAATGTTGTATATTTTGTCAATATTTGCTCCATATTTGAAGATATCATGATAAGGTATATTACAAGCATTATTGTCAGATGATGTTTTACAGTAGAGTCTAAGACTGGATAATTTTAGAGGTTCAATAAATGTTTTTATATCAACCATACCCAGTCCCGCTTCAGTCTTTGATCTTTTCATTGTGATTCTTTTTATTTTATAATTTATATCATTCCAAATGAATTTGAAGATATCTTTTCAACGGATTTAATAAAGTCATCTGGATAATTGGGCAATGAACTGAAACTATGTACTAATTTTGAGATGGCTATTGTTTTTATGACAGTAATTTTTCCTATTAATGTTAATTATCTTTTTCTTCATACTGCTAATAATGTGTTTAGTTCTTCCAGTCTTTTCTTGTATTAATCACGCATAGATCAGCAAAGTTTGGGGTAAACTTGATTCCCAGCACTTCAAACTCTCCATTATACGATTCAGTTTTCAAATGTTTACATAATATTTCTTCATTGCCTGCCTTTGAGACAATCCAGATTGCTTTCGTCTTATCTATATTTATTTTCAGACCCGACATCTTATAAAAAGTATTGATTGTTTCAATAGCTGCATAAAGTCTCTCATCTGTACCATTAAGAAAAACATAGGTATTATCAGCATATTGGCCTGACTTGTATTCTTTATCATCAATAACAATCATTATTTCTTATTACACATCCCATTTTTTCAGCTACAAAGAGGAATAAATATGGTGATAAGGGATCTCCCTGGAGAAACTGAAACTTGAAAACCCATTTAAGAACTCAAGATTTAATCAACTGTGGGTCTAGTGCTAAGATGAAAACTGAACAAGAGACGGATCACTTGAAAGTACACTTCATAACCTTACCAATTCCAGTTTTCCTTATGACACGGCAATGACAATAAATAAAACAATTAAACGACAAATTTAATAATAATCTATCCCACCTATGTAGCACGTTTTGTGCGATAAATAGCTTCTATAGGGTCACAAATGAATTCAATGACGGATGCTCGTGTATCATTTCACATTAAATACGTCTTATGACATCACGAGGTCTTGCCAAAACCTGACCAGGTAAGAACATGTTTAGAAAAATGGCCCGATACATGCTTATCCCATACACCTCTGACCTAGGTATGCCTGTCTACATACATAGTCCGTGAAAGGTTTCACGACATCTCCCAGTTTGCCCTGGAGCAACAGTCATCAGCGCTGAGTGGGTAAAGAACCAGACATAACTGTCAAGCAGGTCCAGAAGATGAATGATCCACGCTTCTCTCAATGTGTCTCTTGTCTTGCCCCACAACAACCTCACGATCAGCCTCTCTTCCAGGAATGTCTGTGACGTGACGTCGGATGCACTGATTGGGCAAGACCAAGGCACGCGGGATATATTTAAGGCAACCTTTTGGAAGAGTTAAGTAAATATTTCGTCAAGGGTGTGCTGGTCGCATCCTCCCCTGTTGGAATCTACCTTGTGTTTCAAGGAATTTCTTTTTCATTTCAAACTGTCATAATGGGAGGTTACGATCTAGAAGTAAGTACATTATAGAAGGTTAATACTATAATAATGTTAATACAACTTCTATGAATGACAACCGTATTCATACCTATTCGTTTTTATTTTTAAAAAAATGCTTGTATAATGCTTGACTTTCTTTGTGAAATTTGAGAGTAAAACATTTTGCCAAGACGTAGGCATCCCCATGGGCACCAATTGTGTTCCTCCTCCTTGCGGATCAGCATCTGTTTCTGTATACATATAAATCAGAATTTCTGCAAAATCAAAACAAAGTAATTTGGCGAAGAAGTTTAACTTAAGCTTCTGGTACATCGATTATCTAATATCGTTCAATGACCATCACTTAGCCAATTGCCTTCCACTGACTTACCCACCTGAACTTGAAATTAAGAAGACAAGTGAGACGGCCTCAACTGTTTCATATTTAGATCTATGCATAAAGATTCAGTGACAAAATCCTCTCCACTAGGCTGTATGACAAAAGGGGTGAATCCAACTTTCCAATTGTCAACAATATTAGTCAAGCAATATTCCAACAGCTCAAGCCTTTGATGTTCACATTTCAAAACTTTGAGGTACAATCGAGCGTGCTCCTTTATCAAAGGGCGTCATACCATCTCATGCTCAGAAGTTGTTTGATCAACGTTAAATCAGTCAAGGCCTCAGTAAAGCTTTGAAGACGTTTTATAGTAGACATGTGGGGGAATTTCCAAATTTGATGAATCAGTGACAAAATGGTGTCCGATGCAATTCCCGATTTTGACTTATACCATCCTTATAGCATATGTTTATGACGGGTGCCACCTGGTATCATCACTATTTTATAGTGATTCATGGACACATGCTCTGTCATCGTATCGCATGGTGACAATTACTGAATTATCTGGTCCAGACTCGATGTGTTTACAACATCGCATGGCTGTAATACTGCTGAAATAAATATATACTCATGATATAGTCACAAATGTACAATCGACTCTGCTTTTAGCAGAGATTTCTTATGGATGTGGAAAGGATTATGTATTTCAGTAAGTTATTATCATCAGTAATGAAAACGGTGAATTATAAAAAAACTTTAACTGGGTGTTCATTAATGGGATTACCGAAGACGTAATATTTCCGCTTTTTACTTTCAACTTCAGATTAATATATATCCATCCGTTTAATTGGACATTTCCTCATATTATCTGATATTGATTTATCAGCTGATTTACGTATGAATAGAAAATCTCTATAGTGGTTATACATACGTCCGTAGATCTAAATCTGATTCAGTTAATTTTCTGTACTTTGATAATACTTTCACTTTTACAGGCCGCTACCTTGAAACCCGCCGCCAAATCGACGTCCTTGCTAAAATGGCTCATCATCGGAACAATTATGGGTATTGTTGGAATTGGCGGCGTTCTTATTGGCCTGGGAGTCTCGGGAAACCTCGGCAAAGGAAGTGATGAGAACAACTTGGTAAGCGTGTTTGTAGCATTATATATAGCATAACAATACACAGTCACTCCATGGTGTGCACTAGCGGATTCTCATTAAACATTCTCTCAATACACCGATACTTCATCTTATGCTGCACAGCAAGTCTGAATATATACGCTAATACCTATGAGGACAATTTAAGTAACAAGTAATGTGATCATAAGTGAGAAACGGGTTGTTTAACATACTTCATGCAATAGATATCCATCAGAAACTATATTTCTAATATGCTAAAGCTAATGTTAATGTTTCTGGGGAGATAGCTATCTCAGTTGTGGAAAATTGTGCTCAGTAACATTTCTTGTGAATAAAATATGTTTAAATGAAATAAATTTTGCTTAATATTAAAATATTTAGTTAAACCGTGTGCATAGAACACGACATAGACAACAATTTCATGTGAGATTTTAATGTAGAGATGTATATTTCAATGGATGTATTACGTCCAGAAGTGGCCTTGGTAACATATCGTAATACAGACAACAATGCTTCATTGTGCAGAAGTCACATTTGCATTACACATTAAGTATTACAGTGACACGACGTACACCCGTTATGTATGGGAAAGTTGAATCTGCAGCACTGAACAAGACAGAAAGAGAAGAGTTTTATCGCTTATGCAAGGATAATGTTACTCTCGAAACGTAACAGCCATAGTTCATCAAGGTCTAAATCGTACATCTATCTAGGAATTAATTAACCCGAGATGGTGTTGGTGACTTTGTACAGTACATGGGTGTATAACAACAGACGAAATTATATCTCATTTGTGAATGGAAACATGCTGTACCAACTCCATATATTTAACATTTACATTTAACCATCTGTCTTTGACAAAGTTATCCCCTTGCTGACCGTTTCATTAAAAGTCATCCAATTAGATAGACATGTCCAACAGTGTGTGAGAGTACGCCTGTGCTGTAACATCGACGTCCGAACGTAATACCAGCCTGTACATCATCCTTCATATACATGTAACTGTCTCGTGTTAGCCCCAGGGCAAATTAAGCGTCTTAAATCAATTTTGCGTCTTAATTGTCTGTGTATAATTGTCACATGTAAACCTCGACGACCGAAGCAATATTTGTTTACATAGCTATGTGTTTGTGTGAGAGAACCTAAAAGTAGATTATAGATGTGTCGTTTACACCAGCCACAGTGCTCCGGTTCCGTAAGTATTAAGTTAAGAGCGAAAAACAAAATATATTTAAAATAAAAATGCTTTCATAAACCGGCGCTTGCTATAAAATGTGCCGCCGACACAAACTCCCTACCTTGTATACTCACTGACAATGCGTGTAGAGACGACAGAACGGGATGTTCCCATTTCGCTTACATCCCATTTCGCCTACAGTAATTGAGGATGGCAACTCATCCACCCCTCATTCAGTGAGGGAAGCTTAGGCACACTCCCCTCATAACAACGTATGGTATGGATTTACAACTTCTTTATTATTTACGATACACGACGTGTTTTGGTTACGTCCTGACCCTTCATCAGGTGCATGACAGAATATGATTTACCAGCAAAATATATAGTACGTACAGGAGGGCGATGAGATGGAATTAAAGATTGAGATGTACAGATATCAAGGAGATTAAGTGATATGTTTTGACTAAGATGTACAGAATTCAAAGGGAATAAGTGGTATGTTTTTCCATATTAAGTGCTATGTTTTTCCACAAAGAAAAATATTCTTTTTATGTTTCTGATTATAATCTCTGCTTTAATAAACACATAAACATCAAGCAGAGACCCAGGGATTGTATATGTTTATGTGAATATGACTGTGCTACAAAGGGGGGTCGGGAACTTGGACTTTAGCCGTAGCGATTTATGACCCTTCCCAGCACTACGTAGTTGACGATGATGTAATACACATGAAAAGTAGTAGAACAAGTGGCTACAGTTACTTACATGTATAACGTAATGTACAACACATGACCCTCATTCACCCGCAAGTCGGGAGCGATGGCTCTTCTTGAAGCACCTAAGTTTTAACATTACTCATGTACATGTATGACGAACAATCTCTGGTCTGAATACGATCACGGCGTTGTATCTTTTAATACACATTAAAACTGAAATTAACTATACTACTAACAGTCACTACCCTCCACTGGATCAACATCAGGTTGCCACCAACCATCTATTATCAACATTCTGGCCACAGTTCATACCTGCGGTTATACTTCAAATTTAAGTCGCTGCCAAAATCTTCTATAGTCACCTTTTCTGTAATTGTGTTCTTGATTCTGTTTCTGTCAGTCCTTAAAAAGATCTATTTTACCTGATACACGTACGGTAGAGTGGTTATCTTTTCTGTGTAATCCTGATCTTCCCGCACAGTGTAGGGTAATGCCGTCAAATTTGTGGTCCTGTTTCTTCAATAAAACTCAGGGAAACTAGTTATGGGACATTCATCCCACAAATATTAAAAAAGGAAGTTATGGATAATTGAGAGCATTAAAAGCCACCATTTACAATCACGAGAGATGACTGAATGAGGAGGGAATGTGATGGAGGATGGGACTACTTCATGTGACATTAATAGGCTGTAAACAAGTACATGACGCATCACCAGCTATAACGCATACAGGGAAATCGTGACTTGTTTATGACCGCATCAGATCACATCCTTTCCCATAAAATATTTACGTCAGCAAAGGCAAATCTTCAGGGTTGCTTTTTTCGAGCAGATTTAGATCCTGTTGACATGAATGTTTTTTCAGGCGTAAAAACATATCTGTACATTTTCTGTACATTAATTTTTTGCCATCACACTTTATTTGCCATCATTCTTGTGACTGCAGTTCAGCTGGTCAGTGGTTTGTATAACCGCCCGTCAAAATTACCACATAGTACACAGTTCCGTGTCTTCTGTCACACTGAAATTGATATAAAGTGTAATCAATAATATTGTGGATCTTGACATTAATCTGTTGATCTGAACAGAACTTCTATCCTATTGTAATACTATGAAAGGCCTTGACAGCTAACCATACATAACTGATCGTAACAACATCAATATCAGTCGTGGCGTCAAGGTAATATTAATGTCATAAAGCATCTCCTATCGCACAATCTTTATACAGTATCTTTATCCCAGATTTCTCTATCCATATGCCTGGTGTGTGTGTGTGTGTGTGTGTGTGTGTGTGTGTGTGTGTGTGTGTGTGTGTGTGTGTGTGTGTGTGTGTGTGTGTGTGTGTGTGTGTGTGTGTGTGTGTGTGTGTGTGTGTGTGTCCTAGTGGTTAAAGCGTGCGCTCGTCACGCCGAAGACCCGGGTTCGATTCCCCACGTGGGTACAATGTGTGAAGCCCATTTCTGGTGTCCCCAGCCGTGATATTGGTGGAATATTGCTAAAAGCGGCGTAAAACTAAACTCACTCACTCATATGCCTGTGCGTGTACCGAAGTAAGGAGGTACTTGTGATCAGATATTGGACTATGTCATCATGTTCTGGTCTAAGGTCTGCATGTCCTATTTGTGTACATCAAAGCCTCTTGGGTGGGGCTTATGTTACCAGTTGTATCATACACCATCAATAACCTGGTTACCGAAAGACAAGGCATGTCAACCTCGTAACATTTAGAGAGGTCACTCCGGTCCGTCAGGTGTTGCTGGTCAACGCCTATCTTACTCGCCTGAAGGGTATTTTTATTATTTGCCGAAGACAGAGGTCAATCTGGTCCACCCAGAGCAAGAGGACAACTGTACAAACTAACTGTAACACTTTCTATGTATATCCCTAGTTCTATTATATTCAGCGCTTACACAACTTCATATGATTAGAAATGAAGAAAAGATATTACTCATAAGTAATGGTTATACTTAGAAGTATTGGTTATACTTATTTCTTATCATAAACAGAAATATATATGTGCACATTGTTCATATAGAAGTGGTTATTTCGATATAATTATTGCTGACTCAAACATATTGCTTAATTATTTCATTTTAAGATCTATAAAGACAGCAGTTATATCTAGTTATATGTAACGTCGCGCTTTATGATAATGAATAAACGTTAAAACGAATACAGGTGTACAAGAATATTCCATAAAAGGTTGCAAGGATTTCCCCCTGTCACGATCTTGAACTTTGACCGCTAGATCCGTGCAACACACTGATAAACAACATGTTTTATGTTCAGACATATTTCAACAGAAACCCGCCCATAATAATGTCACGTTATGAAGTGTTGGCTGTTTTTCATCCTACATCCTGACAAGCTGACATTTATGAAAAAACAAAACACAAACTATTATCCCGACCTTGTTTTGATGAAGCGCTTTTATCAGTGATCATCAATAAGAAATATTCCTCCTCCTTTATTCGTCCATTTCTCTGAGTTTTTCTTGTACTTGTTTCTGTTTTTCCCTCTTCAATGCCACATTTCTGTTATAGATCACAGGCGGACCCGCTCAGGCAGGAATGTTCAATGGGCAGAACCGACAGGGTAGCTTTGGACAGAACCAGAATGGCTTCGGTATGCTGGGGAATGCTGTTGGCATCCCTGACGATGTGAGTCTGCATACCACATATATGTCGTATGCTACATCATTTTCATATATGAACTTTCTTCTTTACTGTTCTTGTGATGAATGTGTCAGAAAGATCAATTCAGCGAATAAGTATAGAAGTATAGAAGTTGAACGTTCCAAACAAATCTGGTTATTTGTTGCGTAAAATGTGCATATTTTCTTTCATCACAGACGCCAGACAATGTTCCCGATGTGGTTGAGAACGTTGTTGAAAATATCAACGATGTCAGGAACGATATTGCAGACAACGTAGCCGACGTTGTTGACACTGCCTCTGACGCAGCTAATAACGTCATCGATGCAGCTGCTGACATTGTGGATGATGTTAACAACGATGTGAATGATGTTGTTGACGACATTCGCGATGATGTTGCAGAGATTCGGGGTGATGTGACTGATACAGTTGATGACATGTTAGATGATGTCGACGATGTGGCAGATGGTGTCAACGATGTAGCAGATGATGTCGACGATGTGGCAGATGATGTCGACGATGTGGCAGATGATGTGGACGATGTGGCAGATGATGTGGCAGATGATGTCGACGATGTGGCAGATGAGGTCAATGATGTAACAGATGATGCCGACGATGTGACTGACGTTGATGATGACGACAGTCGCGAAGATGACGACAATGTTTCCGAAGATATAGATGATGCCTTAGAAGATATTGCTGAGGCAAGGGAAGATCTGGTCGACCAGGCGACGGATGCGCTTGAGGACAGGTTGGACGGTATCGATGACCAAGCTGATGATGTAAGAGATGACCTTGAAGACAGACTTGAAGCATCACTGGAAGGTGCAGAAGCTGATCTGGAGGATGTCCTAGAAGGTACAGTTGGTGATATTCCAGATACTGTTGACGGTGTGCTTGGTGGTGCTTCTGCAGGCGCGTTTTTGGAAGTTGGTGAGGGGTTTTCTGATGGTGTTTCTGATGTTGGGGATGATATTGGCGATGTGGTGGATGAGGTAGCTGATGGTCTAGATACTCTTGGTGATGGTGTAGAGGACATGACCCTTGCAATGGCAGTGGCAGCTGGGCTGATGAACCCAGCGCCCGCTGCCGCTATGGGAGGAGAGTTGGTTGGAGATGCTGGAGATGCCTTTGGGGATTTGGTAGGTGATGCAGGAGATGCTGTTGATGATATAGGTGGAGAAGTTGGGGATGCAGTGGGTGATACTAGGGATACGTTTGGAGGAGCGGCTGGAGATTTGGATGATATGGTTGGCGACGTTGGTGATAATATGGGCGATATGTATGGTGGAATAGGTGATGCGATGGGTGATGTAATGGGTGATATGGGTGATGTGATGGGTGGTGCTGGTGATATGGGTGATATGCTAGGCGATGCTGGGGATACTATGGGCGATATGTTTGGAGGAATGAGTGACGCGATGGGTGGTATGGGGGATATGCTGGGTGACGCTAGGGATGGTATGGGCGATATGGTTGGAGGTATGGGTGATGCGATGGGTGGTGTGGGTGATATGCTGGGTGACGCTAGGGATACTATGGGAGATATGGTTGGAGGTATGGGTGATACGATAGGTGACGCGATGGGTGGTATGGGGGATATGCTGGGTGACGCTAGGGATGGTATGGGCGATATGTATGGAGGTATGGGTGATACAATGGGTGACGCGATAGGTGGTATGGGGGGGATATGCTGGGTGATGCTAGGGATGGTATGGGCGATATGTATGGAGGTATGGGTGATACGATGGGTGACGCGATGGGTGGTATGGGGGATATACTGGGTGATGCTAGGGATGGTATGGGCGATATGTATGGAGGTATGGGTGATACGATGGGTGACGCGATGGGTGGTATGGGGGATATGCTGGGTGATGCTAGGGATGGTATGGGCGATATGTATGGAGGTATGGGTGATACGATGGGTGACGCGATGGGTGGTATGGGGGATATGCTGGGTGATGCTAGGGATGGTATGGGCGATATGTATGGAGGTATGGGTGATACGATGGGTGATGCGATGGGTGGTATGGGGGATATGCTGGGTGATGCTAGGGATACTATGGGCGATATGTATGGAGGTATGGGCGACACAATGAGTGACGCGATGGGTGGTATAGGTGATATGATGGGCGATGCTAGGGATACTATGGGCGATATGTTTGGAGGGCTGGGTGATGCGATGGGGGATATGGGAGATATGATTGGTATTGATGGTATGGATAACATGGGCGGAATGTTAGCAGCTATGGAAATGAACAGGAGAATGGGTATGGGTTCTCAGCCCGTAAGACAATATATGGGACGTCGAACAGGTCCAAGTATGGGACCGTACATGAGTCCATTTCCGGTAAATCAGATGGGTCCTAATGTAGGTCAAGGCACTGGACAACAAATGGGTCCATATATGGCACCTCGGATTGGTCAAGGCATGGGACCTCAAACGCAACCTCAAGCGCAGAGTTCTGGATTTCCAAATCAGTTGCCTATGATGTTGATGGATGATTTCGAAATGGATTTTGGATTTGATATGTAACTCCATCTCCATAGTCACCGTGTGATTATTTTATTATTGATTAAAGAGCAAAGGTCTGCTTAATGACGCATGCAAACATACCTGATTCTGATGCGATAATTGTACATATACACGCGTATTTTTCGGTACTGCACATAAAAAGCTACGTTCAATCCATGAAAAATATATGAAGAAATTTTATTGTTACATTATAGTATTGCATCCTTTTCAAAGTACATGTATATTCAATGACGAATTCAGTTTTTATTATCAATAAAAGACAATCAGAAAATACACCCAGTATAAAATATATACATTAATCCAGAAAAATCATCGTGTCATTGGGAACAGACAACGTATGGTATATTATGTTGGTACATGTTTGATGGTAAGTATATGTATACATACAATGTATGGTACAAACACGGAAGATTAACACGATGTTTACGCCAACAATATATTATTTATCATTGTCAGCATGTTGGTTCCTTCCTGGTTAGCATACTAACAAAGTGTTAGTTACTTGGCATGCAACCTTGTTGTATACCTTAGTATCAATGTCATGATATCATAACATTTTGAATTAAACATTTAATTGTATATTGTTGGTCGTTTTAGTTATCACTTGATTTAATATACGGTTCGAGGTTTCTGTAGCTAGTGATTAATTGATTAAAAATAATCATTCGTACATACTATCGCATTAACAGCAATGTTTTACACGTATAATACATCCATCCATTCATTGCTTATGGCAAACACATTTTATGTATGTCATTGTGTAGTAATGATTCATTTTAACTCAACCAGATATCTTAGATGACAACGAATCGGATGATGATCACAGCGACGACGACAGTTCTTTGGAGAATATAAGAGATGCTTTAGAAGACAGAATCGAGGAATTGACTGATAATGATGATACATATGAAGGCCAAGATGACGGAGTTGATAATGATGACAGTGATGACAGTTCTTTGGAGAATATAAGGGATGGTTTAGAAGACAGAATCGAGGACGTGGCAGGTGGTGATATAGGTGATGATGATGATGATGACGATGATGGATTTGAAAAGCAAGATGGCATTGATAATGATGACAGTGATGACAGTCCTTTGGAGAATATGGGGGATGCTTTAGAAGACGGAAGCAAGGATTTGACTGGTGATGATGATGATGATGATGACAGTACTTTAGATAATATGAGGGAGGCTTTAGAAGACAGGATCGATGACGTGACTGATGATGATGATGATAGTGATGATGGTGCATTTGAAGAGCAAAATGACGTTGATAACGATGACAGTCCTTTAGATAATATGAGGGAGGCTTTCGAAGACAGGATCGATGACGTGACTGGTGATGATAATGATAATAATAATGATGATGATACAGTAGAAGGGCAAATTGACACACCTGATGATCAAGATGATCTTTCTAACGATGATGATGACACACCCTTGGACAATATGAGAGAGGCTTTGGAAGACAGAATCGACACAATCACTGACGACCGCACACCTGATGATCAAGATGATCTTTCTAACGATAATGATGACACACCCTTGGACAATATGAGAGAGGCTTTGGAAGACAGAATCGACACAATCACTGACGATCGCACACCTGATGATCAAGATGATCTTTCTAATGATAATGATGACACACCCTTGGACAATATGAGAGAGGCTTTGGAAGACAGAATCGACACAATCACTGACGACCGCACACCTGATGATCAAGATGATCTTTCTAACGATGATGATGACACACCCTTGGACAATATGAGAGAGGCTTTGGAAGACAGAATCGACACAATCACTGACGACCGCACACCTGATGATCAAGATGATCTTTCTAACGATAATGATGACACACCCTTGGACAATATGAGAGAGGCTTTGGAAGACAGAATCGACACAATCACTGACGACCGCACACCTGATGATCAAGATGATCTTTCTAACGATGACGATGACACACCCTTGGACAATATGAGAGAGGCTTTGGAAGACAGAATCGACACACAATCACTGACGACCGCACACCTGATGATCAAGATGATCTTTCTAACGATAATGATGACACACCCTTGGACAATATGAGAGAGGCTTTGGAAGACAGAATCGACACAATCACTGACGACCGCACACCTGATGATCAAGATGATCTTTCTAACGATAATGATGACACACCCCTGATGATGGACAATATGAGAGAGGCTTTGGAAGACAGAATCGACACAATCACTGACGACCGCACACCTGATGATCAAGATGATCTTTCTAACGATAATGATGACACACCCTTGGACAATATGAGAGAGGCTTTGGAAGACAGAATCGACACAATTACTGACGACCGCACACCTGATGATCAAGATGATCTTTCGAACGTTAACGATGATAATGATGACACACCCTTGGACAATATGAGAGAGGCTTTGGAAGACAGAATCGACACAATCACTGACGACCGCACACCTGATGATCAAGATGATCTTTCTAACGATAACGATGATAATGATGACACACCCTTGGACAATATGAGAGAGGCTTTGGAAGACAGAATCGACACAATCACTGACGACCGCACACCTGATGATCAAGATGAGAGAGGCTTTGGAAGACTTTCTAACGTTAATGATGATAATGATGACACACCCTTGGACAATATGAGAGAGGCTTTGGAAGACAGAATCGACACAATCACTGACGACCGCACACCTGACGATCAAGATGATCTTTCTAACGTTAACGATGATAATGATGACACACCCTTGGACAATATGAGAGAGGCTTTGGAAGACAGAATCGACACAATCACTGACGACCGCACACCTGATGATCAAGATGACCTTTCTAACGATGATATGATGACACACCCTTGGACAATATGAGAGAGGCTTTGGAAGACAGAATCGACACAATTACTGACGACGGCATATCTGATGATCAAGATGACATCTCTGATGATATTGATGACACACCCTTGGATAATATGAGAGAAGCTGCGCTTGACAAAATTGGAGACATCATCGATAATGCACCGCCATATGTTGTGGACTCATCTGAAGAAGCTGACGATGTTATGGCTGATTCAGTGGAAGACACGGTCGTTGATGTTACAGATGAACAAAATGGTATGATTGATACGATGCAAGATATTGTTGGGGATGTCATGGATGCAAGAAGTGATGCAGTCGGCAACGTGGATGACTCCTCGATGGATATTGCTGATAACTTTGCAGATGCTGTTTATAACGCGAGAGTGTCAATTGACGATGCCTTCAGTGACAGTGTTGATGCAGCTGCTGACGTAAGAGACACTGCAGTAGATGCCATGTTGGAAATGGACCCCACGATAGGAACGATAAACAACGGAGGGGACTCAATGGACGGGTTAATGAATACCGATGAAGATGGATTTGACGTTGTGGATGAATAAAACAAATCTAGATTAATTTATTTCCTACGCATTGTGTGATGTGAGTCTGTGTTTTCACATGACGACATTATTTCAGAATTATATCATTGGTCCATATCCATCGCTTGAGAACCGTCTCCGACATGTTAAGTGGCTTTTCACGAGCAATAAAATCAAACCATGTTTGTCAGCAAGCTGTTGGATTCATACCCATTGTGCTTTCAGAGTGTTTCTACCAAAGGCGGCTGGTCCGTCACTATGTATATATCAAGCTCTGTTTGTATACTTGGTGCTCTAGACTTTGTATATACCAGATGACGTTGTTGCAATGTTCTTGTATGCTATTATCTCCATTAGTGCTAATCGTCGTGTGATAATCCATATAACAATACAGTTTGTGGGATTACAATATTGTTAAGTGAATAAATAATTCTTTATACTATCATATTCCTTTATTTGGATTCAGGCATAATGTATAACTGATTTATGGTTATGTCGTTTTGACATAACGGTTCAGTACAGTATGTCATTAATGGACATTTCTTTGTTGACATCTATCATATAACAAGACAAAAGTTATGCTTGATGGGATTTTACGAACACACAACGCAAGCAATACCTAAATTTATGGTAACCATGGAAACAAAAACAAACAGGAGTTAGGTATTACTAGTTTTTCGCTTTTATGATACGGCGAAAGCACAGGTTTCACACACTGTGCCAGTACTAGTAATGGATGTTTGCCGTGCAAACGGAACGCTTGAACCAAAAGCCACCCAAACAACCACTCAAAAACCGGTATCGTGACGAATACTTTCAACAACAAACGACATAGAAAGTCATGTAGGACAGGACCCATCTTAACATACACAGGCGACACATACTGAGACCACTGAGATCACTCAGTAACCTCTTTTGGCATACACCGGACACTGGAGATGTAACACACCAATACATGTACATTGTACAGCTTCTTGGGGAAAACACACATCTCATGATCGATCATTAACGTGTTAGAAGACTTCAATTCATTATCAAAAACACTAAACGTGTCAGCTGGTTTGCACATGGTGATAGATATAACTCTCTGTCATAAGTGACATCCTCTTTACTACAAGCTTTCGTTTTTATGTAGAACGAATCCATTCCAAATAACGACTTATCCCCAGGTGGTAGACAGATCATCGAAAGAACGTTCCAACAGGCCTGCCTGAGGCAATAGATCATTCTGCAAGTAGTCATAATTACTATTACATTGTTTTTCCCTGTCATAATAGACCTATGATTAAAGAGAGACAATTAGCCCATTGTACATTACATGGAGTCGTTCCTTTTGACTTTAGAGGATACCCATGAATCTATCACTTATTCAACCTTTGAAAATGTAAATGCGTTTAAACAATATTCAGTGAGTGATTTAGGGACTCGGGGTTAACAGTATTTGAGCAGATTTATGAGGATGTGTCAAGTCAATCAAAATCGTCGAAATAACATTGTTGACCTTCATCAGTTTCGTTTATTTCCGTGATATATATTAACAACACATATACACTTCACACGATAATCAAATTATAGGTCCACGCCCAGATACAGGCATTAAGGCATTAAGGAATTATGACAATTAAGTTCCACCTCTGAATTATGGGAAATGAATACCACATTTTTTTCAACAAAGTGAGTCACGGTCACAATAATGTTAACAAGATTGCAATTGCACTGCAAGAGTTAGCGTTACACATTATCCCCTTTTGTGAATGGAACCCGGAGCTTCGCTATGGAAGAGTAACACCCGTCCCATGTGATCATCAGTTCAGACATTGTTACCACTGAGAACCATAACTGCATCAGTTCAGTCTATTTAAGGAAGTTAAACGCTATGTAGTATAGGCAATACACATCAACAAAATACATCAAAACTAGCACAATTACCCTTATCGGAACCCGATTTTTCTTTTACTGAGCGCTACTTTATGTAAGTAGACCAGGACGTTTTTGTTTCAATTTTCTCTTCATGTTGTAACGGGAGCAGTTTTGTCGTTCTCAAATGTCAATGGGTTAACCAGGAAACCGGATATTATCATCTCACAAAACAACTAGGAAACCGGATATTATCATCTCACAAAACAACTAGGAAACCGGATATTATCTCACAAAACAACTAGGAAACCGGATATTATCATCTCACAAAACAACTAGGAAACCGGATATTATCATCTCACAAAACAACTAGGAAACCGGATATTATCATCTCACAAAACAACTAGGAAACCGGATATTATCTCACAAAACAACTAGGAAACCGGATATTATCATCTCTAAAACCTGCAACTGACTGCAAACAATGGTGATAACTGTTTCATGCAGGATTAATAAAGAAACATAAATGTCCTCTGACACCAAACATAAGGATGATGGCAATGTACATACAGACATTCAGTGTAGAGTCCGTACTTTATCCTCTAATGGCGGCCAGTCACGTACATGTACGAAAGCGTGACAAGGTTGTCATAGTCGCATGACAAACTCGCTCATCAGTCAAACTTGTCGTCAGGAAGAAGTGACGTCACAGACCAGGAAAGTGTGTCTATAACGCCTTTGAAGAATTTTTCAAAAATAGCATTTCATGACTAAACTTGACATACATATTCATTCTTGACTCTCAAAAGTAATTAACATTAGTATTTCATAAATATCATTACTACCATTTGACATTTTATGCCAGGACATAAGTGGGATAAAATAGACATTTTGTCAAGGCCAGCGAGACAAAATCCTCATGTAAGCTATTAATAGTGAAATTTAAAGTCTCACAACACCCATGAATGGTAGCACTTGCAATTGACTGTCACTCATATCATGTAATGCATCACAGAAACGTGAAGGTTTGTCACGATGACGCTACGATTGAAACATACCGTCTCGGAGACTGGTCGCTGACATCCGGAAACAGTAATTATTAGTGGAGATTTGGTATAATAATTCATATTCCCACTTTTTAAGTAATACGAGTAAATCAATATGCCGTTAAGATATTTTCGGTTTGTACGACCTTTTTGTTAAAAGAATATTTACTATGTTTATAAAATGTCTTATTCCCAACTCTTCATTAGACTAAAAGTGACCTTAATGTATATTCTGAAGAAGTCTTAGGTGCTGCTGCTGTTAGCTGCCACTGAATGCACTTCACGTGAAAAGGGTTCATCATACTCTTAATAATAATGCTCATACAGTGTGAAAAATGATCGTGGAAATGGTCATATGAATACATTCTTGGCGTACAAAAGGACAATATGTTGGAGACGTTTGTAGCAGGTGACCCTGGTAGGACAGGAACCCTTCACAATTAAGTGCACCTGGTTAGATCACTGTTTTATAGTGGTTCACAAACTAGGCTTATGGCGAAGTGGGGATCGTAGATGGCCCAGATTTCTTAAAAGGATAACGGAAAAGCTTTGTCACTTCTATTCAGAGAGGGCAGTTTTCTTTAGTATAACGAGATGAAGGACTGAAAAGACGGACCTTCGAAATTAAATGTATAATTATTATTATTAAATATATTTGGTGAGGGATTCGAAGTTGTTTGAAATGGGCTTTTAGTGCCGCTTTAATCTTCTCAGTGAGTGAGTGTGGTTTTACGCAGCTTTAACAATATTCCTGCAATATCACGGCAGGGGACGCCAGAAATGGGCGTCATAAGTTGTACCCATGTGGGGAATCGAACCCGGGTCTTCGGCGTGAAGAGCAAACGCTTTAACCACGAGGCTACGCCACCGCCTTCATCTTCTCACACGTGTCAGCTTATAGAGCAGGACTACCAAAGAACAGTATTGAGAAACAGATTTGAGAATTTTTGTGCGGATAACCCTTGCCTGCTTACTTCCATCGTTTGAATTATTGATAAGAAGTAAACTGCTTTCACTTCGAAGTACTCATCACTAATCAGGCAAGACAATGCGACTTCGTAAAAGGACATACATGCAGGGTATTAGGGACATGAAGAAATCACAGTCGAAGAGGTATTCACTCCTGCTTCCTACCACGGTAATCCACGATTAAATACTGTGGTGTATTCTACACATTTCTGATTGGGGTTATCATTGTATAACTGAAACACGCAGATATACTTAAGATATGTCAATTTTCCCCTCCAGTTTAAAATTCACATTTGAGATTCAGCCGTTACCACTACTAACAGTCTTAACTGTTTTACAGAAAATCAAAACATACAGTTAAAGGCGGTTGCATTAAATTCAGAAGCAAATGTTATAGCATGGTCGGGCCTAGGCAGGAAAAGTGAGAACAATGTATGAACTGCCTGTAACCGGAGAACGTTGATCAGAGGTCGACATGGTTGTGGTATCTATGACTGTAGGGCAAACTACAGCTGAATGGCGTGACATGGGATTACAAATCAAATATTGATGACAGTAATGTATATACCACTGTTTAGTTTTCGTGGTTTGAGGTGAACATGACCCAAAATGAATTTAAATGAATATACATATAGCTGTATCAGTAACAGTGAGAGAGAAACCATACTGGATACAGGCCCATCACAGTGAAACCCCATGTATCTGGGGTTTTGTTCGTAATGCTGAGAAAATGTCCCTTTAATTATAAATTTATCTCCCATAAATGAAGGCTCGTGGCCCTCATTTAAGATAATTCACTGTGAAATCCTTAAACAAGTATATGGTGTAGACAGACCAAGGATTACAATTGGAGCCAGTCGGGGATCCGAACTCGAACTGCTTTGGGGATGTACGCTATAGTTAGGGGATCCTCTGTGAGAATTAGATTAACAAAATTGTAGGCCCCTCTTCTTTTGCGTGTGTGTTGTTCACGCGTGATGGTGCGTCCAGTTTACGTAAACAGATGCACTTCGTAACGTTACGACCTGTCGTAACTCCATGGTTTATCATAAGTGTACGAATGTCGTAGCTCTACACATCTGGATCCTAAATGAATAAATTAAGTACATTATATTTTTAATATATTTATTTACAACAGTATAAACGATAACATGAATGTATATGTCTCTTAGAGAGCAATCTCAGTGTCCATGAACACGTATCACAATTCGCTTCTTTACATAAATATATACATAAAACACACATTTGTACTGACATGTAATATGGCACTCATATATAAACTATGTTATCAAATCAAAATATTCTGCACCGGGCAACTATCGGAGTACATTCATCGGTTGATAAAATGACAGGACTGCGTGTTTTCATGCTACATGTACACTTTTTAAAATACTATATATAGAAATTCTGATCACTATTCAAGATTTTTTTAATAATTATTATTTTGACCCGTCCTAATAATGAAGGCAATAAGCTGTAGCTACGTTTTCAACAGTCATCTGTAACAACCGCGTGCAGTGTGCTACATCAATGATGGCCTAATGCACAAAGGTCGTTTTATTGTAACATACCCGTTTAAAACTGCCATTTAAATCACGTCATACCGAAATATACTCATACACATGTAATCTAAGTGTGGACGTACAATATGTATCTCTGCAGTGTATATCCACAGACATTTGTCACCTTAGTCTACAATTTGTTTTCTAAATATAGAGCAGGGACTTGTGCGTAAAGGTAATTCTCATTAAATCACGTGTCATGTTTGGTTTTCAAGCATTACGAAGTCTCTCGTTGGTTACCTTTGAAATACGTGATTCATTTTCTTTCTATTGTCGAAAACATTGGTCTCATTCACATAAAGTCAATCGCAACTTTTATACTTGAACGAACTTAGGCTTACAACAGCAATAGCGCTAAAACTGCTCTGCTTAAAAAGACCCTGTCACTAGCGATGTATGTATTCAAATATTAACCGCAGGTTGTTATCTATGTTAGTTGGGCATTCCATTGCTCCAACCCCATGTGAGAGCTCCAAAGTCCGACTAGAACTTGATGCCAATAAGGCTTATTCTGTAATGATATGTAAACATACGTACAACAGTTTGTAAAACGTTTGAATATGAAATGTCTACTTTTCTCGCAAAGGATCCTGTTTCAAGAATTTCATGACAGGAATATACACAACCGTTATACACCAGTTCTCCCTTTTATGCTGCATCCCGTACATTTTAAATTCTGAGAGGCGGTGGGGTAGCCGAGTGGTTAAAGCGTTTGCTCGTCACGCCGAAGACCCGGGTTCGATTCCCCACAATGTGTGAAGCCCATTTCTGGTGTCCTACGCCGTGGTATTGCTGGAATATTGCTTAAAGCGGCGTAAAACCATACTCACTCACTCACATTTTGAATGAAAGTGACGTGGAGGATACAGTGGAGGTGTAAGCATCCAAGAAGTGATCACAGTACAAACACAGCATACCTAGAGGCATTTGTCGCTTCATCCAACATCGATTTTTGCATGGTCCACAAAGGAAAGATAAATCTTGTCCTACAAATTTGCGATCACTTAACAAATTAATTACACTATTTTTTTTATCTGTAATGATTAGATATCCCGGCAACCTGTCAATTGTGATGAATATGTCACAGAATCCTGACTTATGAATCCTTCATGCCGTTCGTAAAGAAAGTGTAACTTAGATTCAGTTTCGTCTCATAACATGTTCTGATGACAAAGATAATGTCAACAATACACACTCAACAGTGAACATATAGTAAAGCAAACATGAATGTTTAACCTAAAGTAATAATGGCTAAAACGTTGCAATAATCTGATGTAATATTTACCAAAACTTAATAGTTCAAGACAATACGTTGTGTGTCAAACTGGTGCTTGCCAAATCGGTCTACATCCAGAATTATGAAATTCCTTCGTTGAGTGTAGTGTCATTCTGTAGTTGCGTGTTTCTTTGGCAAGACGGTCCACCAAAGGGGAGAGAACTCGTGAATTTTAGTAGCGCCTGAGTCTGTGTCTGTGTCTCCAGTAATTGGGTAGAGCCGGTTCTGTGCTTGGTGGCGGTGCCTCGTACTCCACGTCACAGAATACACACAGGAACACTGCGAAACACACCCAGTCTAGGCACAAGGCCGCGACGCCAAATGGCGGTAGCCATGGCGCGGTACACAAACGTCCGATAACTCTTGCTTGCACAACAGACACCAGGATGTACATGGATCCTGAAAATACAACAGTGAAAGAGGCATGTTACAGTCACATTAGGAATAGGTTAAGTAGAAATTGTGAGAGTGAATGTCTTTTAACCACTCTGGAATATTACAGGTTCTTCACGGCTGCCTGTGTGTGCTGGGCCGCGACAAACAGTGGTTGATATTATGCGTCTTGCCGTCCGGGCACGATGACAACCAAACCAAACAACTGAACCTTATCCCAGAACCATTAACACCCATCTTACAACATAGACTAGTACTTTGGGTATATTCCAGAAGGGTGGCCTTCATTTAACGATGCACCCTTTTGTAAACGCGTGAAGTACATTCCACAAACTAATCACCACTTACTAGAAATTATTTTTGACGATATACACTTATCCAATCAAATACTGACATTTCATCGTTTTCAAAAGCTTCTAAAAGAAGTCCTTCTTCAGAGCAACGTTCGAGGACGATTTCTGGTGTCCCCCGTCGTGAAGCGCCACATTTATCAGTATCCCTGCTATATCAAGAGACATGAAATGGATTCGCACATTTAGCCCATGAAAGGAATCGAACCAGGTCTTACAGTGAGGCTGCCGACGGCTTTAACGATTTGATTACCCTACCGCAATTCACGTATAAGGCAAAAGTACCAACCAGCCACTATATGCACCAGTGTCAGGAAGAAGACAGCACCAAGGATCCACCACAGCTCGTCCACGACCTTCTTGGAACGAGCTTTATGGTTGAAACGCCGGTAAAGAGACAACAAGAAAGGAACAAGGGAGATTACTCCTCCAAGTATCAGGTAAACCGGAAGGAGAACCATGTCTGCGCATTCGTTGAGGTATACCCATCCTGTCAATAGAGATGTGTGATGCCTTTATATTGTATGCATGTATTTTGATGAAAGCATAGAACACGAAAACATACTAAAGGTAGATCCCACTCACAAGAATACATCACGACATTAAGATTTCACACTGAAGTAGGGGTTATTTTCTTTGAAATCCACGCATGTTCATCGTTTTAGGATTCTGGTTTGTTTGTTGTGTAACGCCGCACTCAGAGGTTTTCCATCCATATCACGGCGGTATGTACATAATCGAGTCTATACCAGGCAACCCAGTGACAGCATGAGCGCCGATCTAGCTATAGGCGATCGGGATATGATGACATCCATCAACTAAGTCTGACCACAGGATCCTGTTAGTTATCTGGTCATGGGTTGCTCCAGGCCAATTCTAGGTCATCAGATTTGGAACAACGAGGGGAGCAATGCGCATTTCAAGCATGTACACAGCCAACACCACAACGATTTTCGGGATACATTATGAATCTGATTGGGAAAATCAGCTTCGATAGGGGTAGATTTGGAAACATATAACGTGCATTTCTGTCAACGAGATTCCTTGCCGTATGTTCTTCATCTCTTCATAAAACATATGTTGTACTGATCGTACATAGTTCAGTGATATCCACAAATAAGCATTTGCATGGCGCTCATTCAAGAGTAAAAATATCGTTGTATTTGTATGGCGGTGACGTCACGTCGAACTAAGGTTACAATTTAAGAGTACAACTAATTTATATACATCTGGTTTTCGAACCCGCTGGTAGCATATTCTACCACTTGGCCACATATTCCTACCTTAACCCGTGGAATTTGACAGTCGTATATCAACAATACGTCACATATGTAGGCCACGCAACATTAGCTACAGCACCTCAAACACATTTTTGCGAAACGACGTTTCTTTCAGAGTGATGTATCTTTTTTATTGTATGGTGATATAGTTTTATACTTATACATTATTCTTTAAGACTGTCACGGAACTGAGCTCCTGAAACCAGGGTATTATAAAACAAGAAGCGATATTTTAAAACATGGTAAATGAAAAAGTTCACAGTTCTATTATTACCAGATAATTGCAACAAAACGAGAGAATATAGGAGGGCAAAAAACAAATTTGTACTAAAATAATCAGAGTAATGACACGAGCTGTTTAGCGGCAATACACATAGAGTGACCAAACCACACTTTTAATTGACCTGTTAATTGACTCAACACTCTAATGAGTGAATAACAAGACCCGAATAATTCCGTGAATTTGTGAAAGTCATAGCATTTTCAACACATGAACAAGGTAGCAAACATATATAATCTAATACATAAATGATAAACGCAAGCGTTTATACCGCAAGTGAAAAGCAATTCTGGTCAATAACATGTTCAAAATTGGACGATGAATGGACTTTGCCGAACGGAAGATGGACGAGAGAAGGCGTGACTTGACCGTGACTAGAGTGGTTTTGCGACCCGGTGATTTGACACTGTAATTTGTAATGCTATTTTCCAATGATCGATTGTGTTTTTAATGCTGAACAACATCAAACATCCCAGTGAGGCAGTCCTTCAGCCACTACACGGTTGGTCTTAACGCGAAGTAAATGTTACAAAGGGTGTAAGTTCTTTGCCTCTTTGAAGAAAGCAGTGAGCACATGTTGATCAAGATCAAGGATCATAATCGAAGTAAAACCGACGACCAACGGCGGGACACAACTTCGCGCTTCTGTATATAACAATCGGTGAGTGAGTTTTCACAAGTCACTTATAGTATGGCTACAAAAACAGAAAATATCAATAATCTTGTCTGGACCAATCAAACCAGTGGGAGATAATACGAACAATCACGTAATCAACATTTATGGGTAAATGATTGTAAAAAGAGGATTCTGCTTGGAGTCATTACGATAAATGTGGGTGTACGTATGGGATATTCTGTACTCTGCTCGTTTCTGTTTGTTGTTGTTGCTTAACGTCACACTCAGCAATATTCCAGCTATATCACTGGGGTCGTTGAATACTGGAGTCTGGGCCAGAAAACCCACTAGTCGATCGATATTGTTCGACGATCCACCGTTCCTTGTGGGCAAAGTTCCTGGATTCCCGTGGACGATCCACTGCCCAAACGGGTCACGTGGTCGTCTCTTAGGACAAGCATATCCTTCTTGGGACCAAGAACCTCTGAGTTGTTTCCAGAAATGCACACTTCGTGAAAATAGAGAAATGCCACAAACGACAACTGAAGTTCATTCTAATAGGGCATTATATGGGAGGACAACCCGAAGGGGTGAAGGTCCTGGACGTTTATCACTTGGTGAAACCCATGTATACTGGTATGGTGTTGTCAAACCACGAATCATGAATAGGGCGATTTTGGATTCGAACCAAGTACCATATTATTAGGTTTCTGGAACGGTTAAGGGATGCAATGCGTCTAAACGCATCAAGAATTAAAATAATAAGTGGCAGTTGCAGGGAATGATGAAAGGATTTACTACCATCTGTAGTCCAAGAAACATCACGTTTGACACGAACAAAACATTTATCTCACGTATGGCTGTCCTTGTTGTTTGCAGATCCTAAATACTCTTGACCTTAGAAATGTCGGGGTCACATTCTCAACCATGACACAATGTTTTCGCGATGACGTACACGTTAATTTGAGGATACAATTTGAATGATGGAGCTTCATAACCTCTTGGTTGAAAAACACAAATAAGTCAGACTGAATACTCTGGTGTTGTTCTATGTTTGGTACAGACTGATTTTTGAAAAATACTACGTTCCTTTTTTCGGTAATACGGGTGCTTGTCAGTGCTCGACGACGGTGAAGTCGTCAGCCTTTTTTTCGGTTCACTTCTGTATCAAACTGACACCTGGGACTATAACGGAAATTCTGTTACTAACTTGTGGACGGTGTTAAATCAATTAATCATTCAGTGACTTCAACGCCGTCGAGGAAACCTTTTTTTCTTTCATTGTCTTTTGTTAATTGCTATTAGGCGGTCCGTGAACGATCGAGTCTATACCAGATAGTGCTTAGATTGACACCTCGAGCACCGTCCCACACAACTGGGGTGCGATGACATTCATCAAGTCAGCGAGTCTGACACTCCGATCCCGTCGGCTGCTTCTTACAACACATGGGTTGCGGAAGACCAGTTCTACTAAAGATAATCAAGAAGATCGAGGGTAATATGCAAATACAATACTGATTATGAAATATATGAACTCTAACTGCACTTTGTTCCCTGACTCGTGCCCTCAACACATGCGTACGTGCACAGTATTAGTGCGTTGAAGTGAAACACCCCTTGCACCAACACAATACACCTCACTGCCTACCTGACATGCCATTAACAGTGTTTAAGGGACATGGGATATCCTATCTATTGATCGAGGACTGACTCAGGCTGTTATTCGTTATTCAGATAAGCCCACTTATGTAACCTACTTAGCGAACCACGACCATACATGGCATAATGTAGGAGCAGCGTGGCACGTTGACATTATCCAGGTGTCTCCCTCGGGCGTGAACATTCATCAGAGAAAATATTTTAGAAGAATTTGGATGGTACGGAGGGCGCAGTCCTGTGAGACACAGCAAATTAGATAGTTTTAATGAGCACTTACTTCGTTTAATCTATGTTAAACCCGCATTTACCTCGATATCTACTTCAGGGCGAGGCATGCATGTGCTGTCGACAGTATCACCAATTATTTAATAGTGAGTAATATAAGTTGGAATGGTTTTCATATGCGGAGGACTTTAGAGTTGAATTGTCATTTCTATATCTGTGTAACTCTGCCAAAAACATAATTCTAATATGCATTTCATCACTTCCTGGGAGCAATATGAATATTTAAGTTACACAAAATGTATGCATATATGGGCGGAAGTCTTACCCAGCATCTTAACTTGTATGAAACTATCTCGCCGGTTTCGTCGTTGCCCATTTAACCTAATGTAGTGACATGACGTGTTGATACGATGCACTTCACCCAATATGGTGATATGATGCACTAAACACAATGCTGCTTGCACAGTGATGTACGTTATTGTACCAAATGGTTTTGATGTGGTGTGGGTTATATTACCCAATGGCAGCGGTTTACCAAATTCTTGCTATGTGATGTTGGGTATCTTACCCAATGATAGTGCTTGCTGTGTTATTTTACCTACTCAAAAGGATGTGAAACAGACCCTTGTACCGAACTTTACATTCTACCAGGTGCTTGCTTTGTCATATGGGCTGTTTTAGCGAATGCTGGCGATATGGTATGGGATATTTTAGCAATGTTTAGTGCTTAAGAGTTTCTTATAACAAGTCTTCTGTATGTCATACAAGGCATACTTATTGTAAAAGCTCACTGTCCACATTTAGTTATAACAGATAATATATTAAACAGATTTTATGTTATAACAAGTCTTAAAATAATGAAAAAGGACAAAATTTACCAACCTAAAATAAATTTAAGGATTCCAAAGAGTCCAATGAAGATCACACATCCCACTACAAACAAAAAACACAAGATAAGACAGATTTTACGTACATATGCCATTCATTACCGTAAGGTCCGATTAAATTAGACATATTACTAAAATCAGTGTCTGTGTGAAAGTTACACATGTAAAGATATACCTTCATTACCAATTCTTGTTTGTTCCGTTGCTAAATTCGGAACTGGTCTACAAGTGCTGAATGATTGATTCCAAAGGCTATTCACACCAATCATCTTTTTTACTCTTTAAATATTATATTCTATGACTCCAAGGATATGGGTGACTTTTTCAGAAAACATAATGGAAAATGAAATATTTCTTACGTATTGATACTCGTTCCACTAAACTGGCCTTGTCAGAAACCTGAAAAAGAAAACGAAGAATAGTGTGGATTAATGCAATTTCATTGACGGTTTCAAAGGGTGCCTTACGACTCTTGGTCAAGATTGATAAAGATTATCAGATTCCAGGACTTAGCAATATTTTCATAATGCTTTATGGTTCATAGTTTTGAGGACTATTCCAAATTCGACACATCTGTAACTCAAAAAAAGTTAGAAGCATTTATGTATTTGTACTTTTGATACGTTTCATACTTTGAACATGCTTTCTGTATATCTTAAAATTAAAAAAATGTTTCTTGATGTTTTAGTTTTCTAGTTGACAATTTGTTAATTATATCAGATAGTCGATAAACGAAATTGCCATCAGACCTTTGTTACTATCAAGCATGCTTTTTCTTCGAAGATTCCATGGATCAATAAGACTCTTCCTCTAAACGATTTTTATTCTCAGAGGATTTAAGCCTTCAGTGTAGTTTTCAAATTGTGTCACGGTATATAAATGTGACGCACACGTGACCACTAGTTTATGCAATTCCCTATTTCGACTTGTGCCCTATGTCCCCGTGTCTTTCCTGTGAGCAGTTGACTTGCCTTTACGTGTGTTTGTAATGGCTGCCCCTTGTGAAACAAGATGCGGTAAACATTTCACCAACCCCAGGGACATCACAGTGATTCATACACACATGCCCTTGATATAGTCGGAATCCTACAGTACGCTCTGCTGTAATCTAATCATTTTCATGATTATAGACAAATACTTGAACATATATATATAATACTTAATTTTAATCTAATGCCAGATGGAATTCAACACGTGTCCCTAATAGCACAAAGCATTCATTCACCTAAAACTGTCTACGATAAAAAGCGGTTTACCTCAGTAAACAAGTGCGTTACCAATGTCATATAACACAACTAGAGGCCCGGCTTTCACAAGTCTATCTAAATCTAACGGATCAACCGTTGAATGTTAGGCAGATACGTTATGCCTACTACGTCGTGTGGATTAAGATTGTGTTATATGTTATCATTTTATGCACACATACCCCGCTGAGATTCTTTGACAGATTCTGGCTTGAACAACAAAAACGGGATTGGAAAGCTTCTACTTTATTGATTAATATATTTGTATTGAATATCTCTATCAGATTGTTGGAATATGTACTCATTTTCTTGCACACATTTATATAAACTGTACTATTTAGATATCATTTCAACCTCTAGAATATTCTTATCGACTGCTTCTTTTCTTACTGTTAATATGATTCTGTATTGCTCACTCACTCACTGTAAATAAATACATGCGAGGATATTACGAGCAATCCACGGAGAAGAGATAAAAAGATCAGAGCTTGGGGTATTACACTTCATAATGTTAAAAGAATTTCATAAAAGCTATTGCAAATTATGCAACATATTTAAGTTTATTTGCATGAAACCACGGTTAAAAACCTTTCTGAGAACTGATTTTACTTCTACTTTCAGAGCGACATTCAACACTCCTCCATAAAACCGGGATTGACATTTGCCTTACTTCAAACACAATAGCAATAGTACTGAAAAGGCACGAAGTGTAATGACTTTATAACCCTTAACACAGCCAGGGTTTAACCCGCTGGAGATTGGGTTGTAAAACGTATTGATTGCGCCAAGACAAACCAGGTCGCCTATACTTTAACCACAGCGGTGAACTATTCGTGTGTGCGTATAGCCTGCGTATTCAGCAGTGAACACTATCGACTGTCAGGTCGAGATTTTCAGGATAAGCTATTATCCAAGTTCTCAAAGACTGGATCTAATTAGCCAGGATCATTATCGTTTCTGTGTAAACTGGAATATTTTCCAGCTCCTTATTTTCAAATATTCTATACCCGATTGATCATTTTTGCGTGCAAGTTAAGTCGTTCAATCGGTTTGCACTTGTTAAAAAATGCGACATTCGTGGTAGATCTAGAGTTTTGGGAATGTGTCAGGGGTTGAGGCTTGCCATTTCATTGTCATATGCTCACGGGTGCACCCGTCCTGAGGACAACAACGTTACGTGATTTGGAATTGTTTAGCCTATGCAATGTATACACATGTCGAAATTAACGCAACAACCCATATATCAAAGTATCAATATGCTACCATCAACCAGAGCAATCCTTTGCTATCCAAACCTCAATTGAACTTACTATCTGGATAATCTGACAATCAAATTCAAGGAATAATATTGTGGAAAATCTAAACGCAAAAAGAACTAAAAAATCGTAGTTTATTCTGAGCACCAAACCTGGCAAAAGAAATTGACTTATTTGTAGTGTTGCGTACTGTGGTGGTATGACGTCAACAAGATTCTTGGAGGGTTTGTTCCTGTAACCTAGATGTTATACTGGAGGATCTCCGTGGCGTATTCTGCTACCCATAATGTCCCAAACATGCACTATCAGATCGAGATCTGGACTTCTGGTGGGCAAGTTGCTATCTCCTCTTGACGTACGAAAAACCAAAGGCAGGTGCACGATGCGGCCATGCATTGTCATAGATGAAGACTAGTCTTGTGTTGAGAGGATGGTCATCGAAATGTGGCACAACAACACTGTCTTGGATGTCAGTGATGTACTGGTGTCCATTCAGAATTTGTCTGATCGTCAAAAGGTCATGTTTAACGTCATGATAGAGGTACTCCCACACCATCAATGAAACACACACACACACACACACACACACACACACACACACACACACACACACACACACACACACACACACACACACACACACACACACACACACACACACACAAAAAAAAAAATGGTACTTGCTCCAAGATATTCCGTTGTACACATGCAGTGTACCTGCGGCACCAAACACGAGCTCGGACACCAGTCATGGACAAAACAAATCGGCTTCTGTCCGATCAGTGGACATTTCCCAACGACCTCAAATTCCAGTGACATCGAGCTTGACACCAAACTGGTCATGCTGCTTTGTGCTGTGGAGTTAACAACGGCAGGAAGGTCGTCTGGTTCTAGCCCCGACCAATGTTAGGCCATTTCGAACAGTTCTGTTGCACAGACGACGACGTGGAAGCCAGTCTGATTTTAACACGCCACCTGATATGAATGGGTGAAGTATTGAGATTCTGAGGAGGACTGTATTCTTCCCAGGAGTTATCACTCTTGGTTGATCTGACCGCCGATTCTCCTTAACGCCATTTGTTTAGTTTGCTGATGTTTTCTGGCCAATCGGTTGATAGACGATGGATGACAACCGACATCTCTTGCAACAGCCCTCAAAGACATGCCGTCATTCCTCATAGCAATAATTTGCCATCTTTGTGCAGTTGTCAGTTGAGGAGGCCGCACATTTGCTTATCAACAGTATATGTTTATGTATGTGTGTTTGTGTGTGAGAGAGAGTGAGAGTGAGTAAGTGAGTGAGTGAGTGAGTGAGTGAGGGTGTGTGTGTGTGTGTGTGTGTGATATATAAGAGAGAGCGGTTTTGACAAATTTGAGTACACGCGAAAAGGCGTGATAAATTCCGATAAAAGTCAGAACACGCCCCAAACACATAAATAGTTGGCAGCCTAATGGGGGAGCTTCCACCTTGATCGTGAGTCAATAAGCTATTTGAAGGCTGAGATCGCTATGCATTACCTTAACGTACGCAGTACGGCTTGTATTATTTCACAGCATACTGTGTTATGAAAACCCATGCCGAACAAAGTAGTTCAACAATACGTAGTCGATGTTGATAGGAGAGATTTAATAATTAATGCACAAAGAATGCATACATATTACAAGGTACATACAATTAAATATAGTGAAAATTGCTAAACAATTTGACATTGTATTTTTTCAATATTGAGGAATATTATATATCAGATACTGATTGTGTTTGTTCTTAGATTGATAATTGGTTCTTAACAGTTTATAAAATATTACATTAACTAATAGGCGATGCATTTGTGGTATATTCCCGATTTTAGACCATAGAACGTATTTTATTTACCTTATGTAACATCTTTTAACGTTCATTTTAATCATATGATTATGTTTGATAATAGAGTTGGGCGGACTGTTATCAGAATAACAGAGACGACAGAATTAACATTTTCAATGATTTACACAACAGGATATTCATTTCCATAAAAGCGTAAATTTAACTGTCTACATCAAGTTAACTTCAACTTGGATGATCTGCAAGGAAAATAAGTCGTGATCGCTTCCTCCGCTTTAATACCGAATGTTCGAAGCAACTGGGATGTTGGTTTAAGAGAGTTTTATTAGAATGAAACTATTTTGCAACAAAATATGGTTGTACTCTGATGGTTATATCTGAGGAAAGGTTAATTGTTCCATCGATCATATTTGTATTTTACAAGCTGGTTTAGACTCCAAACAAAATATAACCCCAGAAAATGCGTATTACCACACTTGGCAGTACTGTTTTGAATTACACTGGAGAATGAACCTTACCCCAAGCCTATTGTTTTAGCTATACCTGCGACATATGCACATGTTGTAACTATCATTGACATTTTACCACAATGTTCCCATAATACTTACCATTACTGTACCGTAAGACTACATGAAGCTGGGATATGGGGAGAACACTTTCCGTCAGTTGTTAGACAATCATTACGGTGTATACACCTTGTTCCTCGCTAGCCTCCATTAAGGATAGTGCTGTACAAGTCAACCAGCGGGGTTCTGCGCATGTGTCAGACCTTATCGCGGCAGGCAGTGTTCAATAGCCTATTTATTTCCCAACAGTGATTTAATGTAAACACAGGGAATGAGCGACATTTGGGTCTCTGCCAGCGGTGTAGAAAACCTTGCTTGTCGTGTATATCAATCGTAGGGTCGACACATACACATCAATGGCCCTCTGTATAAGTATACTGTTCAGGTGGGAAGTTTGGGCTGTCCGGAGGGCTTCCTAGGCAACACTTGAGTGGGGGTCCGAGTCAAGGTATTCTTTCAAGGTGGCTTGTGATAGGGAGTGTGTCAGTGTTAGAACTGAGCTTATTAGGTATCGGCTTGGTGTTAGTCATACTCTGTTCTCAGTTCACCAATCTGACCTAACCTACTGAATACGTCGCGTGTTATATATATACCCAGATGTGACATGAGGGCAAGTGTCGCAAGCACGATATATATGGCACATATGGCTTATTACCTCCAGTGAGCCTTTCTTCTCAGTAGACACACGGTTATTGAAGTCCTTCATACTCATGAAGGATAACGACAGGTCATTGACAGTATTACTCACATCTATATCAATACATCTCTCTATATCTCTATCGTTCTATCTGTCTATCTATCTATCTACAGTATATATATATATATATATATGTGTGTGTGTGTGTTTTATGTGTGTAGACAGACAGACAGACAGATCATAATGTCTTGTGATTCGATAATAAACATACATATGCTTGTGCCTGGTACAAAATTAAATTGAAAAAAAACACCAAACTACCATCATCATATTATGTCAATGTCTTGTTATTTCGTCTTTAACGTTGAACCAGCAAACCAGTGACTTACTTCATGAGCCTGACCATCACGCGAGCGGAACTTGGCGATGTTTCCGACAAACATGGCTCGTGGAAACCAAATCTGGCCCCTATCTTCACGGTTTTATCTCAAAATCGGAACCACAATTAAACCTTGTTAAGTATACAATTTAATCTCTCGAGAAATACTTTTCATACATACAAAATGCATTTTACGAATTCTCTATTTTTGTACAGTTCAGTGTGTAGAGTCACTTATTAATCTTACTGACACTATCGGTGTTCATTGTGTCGATCTATATCTGTTACAACTTGACATTCGTTTGGTGTGCTGTTGGTGAGACTTTAGTGTGAAGATATTAATTTAAAATATCCTTTTTATAATCAAGTATATAATTTGTATATCAAGTACACTGAGAATATATATGTATGCCATAAAACACGATCAAGTCAACAATTTATTGATTAATTTTATTGTAACTTGATATTGTAGCAAGGGTAGGTTGTAAAAATCCAAGCCCGCGGTACAGCTTGTATGATTGCAACCGTTGTTAGGCTGGTAGCCTGTCTCGTAAATAAAACATTGACTTTCTGTAAGGTTTTCCATATCCTTATACGCACACACGCACGCACGCACGCACGCACGCACGCACAAACTAGCTGTTTCTCAATGAGGCAATTTGTTTTGGATCAAAGAGACGTATTGTAGTTTCCCTTCAAAAACAAAACTTAAATTCATTATCGTTAAAATTAGGTAATGTGTTCCGGGATGGTAACATCCATTTGCTCCGAAACATACACAGGCCTCAGCTTCTGGAGGAAAATATAAAAAATCCCTGCTGGATTACAATGATTTTTACAATGAAAACAACACCCTCTTACAGCGAAACTACATTTTCATAAATACATCAAGCGTTGAAAACGGCGAAGGACGGATAATCAATGGAATGCTGTGGTATCAAAACTTTCTATACCACAGAACCTTATGTTTAACAAATATACCTTGCCATTTTAGGACTGCTTTAGCAAATTTCAGATGCGGAGTTGGTCCATTGCAGACAGAATCTGGCCGTTACACAAACCTGCTCCTTGATGACGGAAGCTGTTTAACTGCCCCGACTCAGTAGAAGATGAATGCCGTGTCTTATTGAATTGCACATTGTACTCTAGCAAACCCGACGTTTAACATTAAGTATGCTCACCCACATTTTAGCAGTTTGTGTGATACAAATAGATTTTATCATGTCCGTCTCCCCTTTTTGTTCTGTAGTTTCCAAAATCTGTCATTTCTTAAAATAAGAAACCAACTTTGTCTATTAACTACGTATTTTAAAACGTAAACTGTATATTGTAAATGCTGTATATATTTCTCATCATCATATTACATTTAAATACGTACATTTTGCAAATATATCTTACCCATCGTATGTCTCCCATATGTCCGTAAAGAGTGGCCCGTTACTTTTTATTCATTATCCCTTTTATTTTTTTGTATATATGCATTTTCTGTAATGAGGAGAGAGGTAAATAAACGATCTATCTGTTTGCCAGTAATTATGTTAGAACTTGATTACGGAACATCAGGCTTGGTCTTAGGTTTGGTACTACCCATCAACTGACATTGGGTACTGCATAAGGCGGCCGTGTTCGGGACAATGCAGAAGGCTGTAATGTTAATTTCACTTTCTCCGAAACGCTCTTGGTGGGTCCGACTAGGCAGCACTTTACTATTTGCTGTCTTGGCTCCGTATAAAAGGGGCAAAGACACAGAGCAGATGATGAATCTGACCACCCGAATCCCATTTCCTAGCATTAATATAATTTTATCTGTAAAAATGATACTTATTGAAATTGGTAATGCATCAAATACACCAAAACTTTATTATTACCCTTGTCAAAGGATCACTTTGCACTTCATTTTACCTACTTTGGGTAGTATAGGACACGCGTTACCACCACAAAGACTCATACCATCTTACTCTAATGGGAATCCATTGACTGCTGGGTGATCAGAGACATATTTCAAACAAAATCACTTGTCTGAACACCAGAGAGGTAAAACAGAATCCCGAGAAATCATAGTACATGAATCTTTTAAGTAGATCTCGGAACGTTAACCTACATCGCAAATTCATCTGTGTTTTCTTGATCACATGAACGACGCCTTCTGTGGGTTTGAGCGTCGGGTTGACTTTCGATGAACACTGAAAACACTCCTTAAAACACGGTTATGACGGTTGAGGACACGAAGCATTGGCCACACATTCAATGGACTTCTGAATATATTCCCGCAGGAACTATACACACTTATGTTAGAGTAATAGATTTAGAATTAATATTCTTCTTTGGAAGAAGTTGACTGTGGTGATTCTGGGACAGATTAGAGCCTTTAGACTATGTTAGTGTCCCCTTTGTTTGCTAGAAGAACCAACCTTCTGGAAGGCATATGTTATCATATTCTTATATATATAATACTCTTAAATAAGGAAACTTGACATAGGACAAATTTGAATTTTAGGAAAATAATTGACACAAACCAATCCATGCTGAATCCCAGCATGTGGGGGAATGGTTCCCGAAGACAAACGTTTGAAAAAAGAAACGTTTAACAAAAAACGTAACGTTACACTCACGTCTGTAGTGAATCGCTAAAACGCACCCTACATGAAATGCACGAGCATCAAGGAATTTGTATATTACCCTGAGCTGATGCCTGACTGTAGGCTTTAAAAAGCCACATCATTGGTACTCCACATGCATTGCTTTAAGCCACCATAGACGACAAGAGAATGGAAAGACTTACAGAAGCTCAACGACACAACGCCATCGGCCGTTTACAAGGACAGACATCGCAGTATGATGTGGCAATGTACTTCAGCGTGTCCAACCAGACCATCTCAAACCTATGGACCCGATACAAAAATACTCGGGGTGTTAACGACAGACCCAGGTCAGGTCGACCTGGAGTTTCCACAGCCGCCCAGGATCGCTACATCCGGTTGAGACATTTTCGTTCAAACACCAAGGCCGCATCATCCACAACAATCCAAATCCCTGGACTGCTCCGAATCTCCGACCAGACAGTGCGCAGTTGGCTATGGAAAGCCAGACTTTTTGCCAGAAGACCAGTTCAACGTCACGCCGTTCCCTACATCAACGTGATCGTTGGAGCATGACAATGCTCGACCTCACGTTGCACGTGTTTGACAGCAAAACAGTGTTCAGTTGTTACCTTGGCCTTCTCGATCACCGGATTTGTCCCCATTGAACATGTTTGGAATACTCTTGATCGACACTTGTGCCTGCGTAATCCGCCACCTCAGACTGCACACAGCACTTCAGCAAGTGTATTAAAACATTACTCAAGACAGCATTCGGCATCTCCTTTCTTCTATGGGTCACCGCTGCCAAGGTGTTATCGATGCTCATGGTGGTCACACCAGATACTGACTTTTTACTCTGACCAAAGTGGCTTTAATAGCTCTCTGTGGTTTTACCAAACACTTTCTGGATAATCATGTTTTTGGAAATTTGTAAAGTGATGATTTTACTGTAACTGAGCAATGATGTCATGTTTGAATCAGTTATATGCACTCAGTAAGTAAACTCCAAAACAGCATGTCAAGTTTCTTTCTTTTTGAAGAGTATATTATGTACGATTATATAAAAGAGCCCATATGCTGTTATATAACCCAACAGCGGAACGTCTGTGGTAAGCTATGTGGTACTTGTCGACTACCCATGCCCTGTTGTTAAGCATTAGGTTCATATATTTTACTCGATAACGATAACATGTTATTTAGCGTAAAAGTTACATGTGATACCTGCAGACTACTCATGCCCTGTTTCAGTTGTTTCGTGTTTAATATATTATATATGATACATCAAGTTGTTACAGTGACATCCCATAGTTTGCACAGGTCACACGCAGCAACACAACCCACATACGTAGAGACCTTACGCTTTCAAGGGCTGTCGATCAATCTCTGTTAATTATTATTTCTGCCAATCTTATTGATTCTGGTTATCATACTGTTGTTATTTACTTGATGTCATTCATTGTTTATGTGTGATGCGGCGTCTGTCTGCGGACGTAAAAATCATTTATGCTTTCTGTCTTTCAAATATGTAATGCTGTCAGCCAAACAAGAGACGTAACATATTTAGATGGTATTACTATAAAGCGACGGTTTGTGAATGTATCATACAGAAGCTCTTGTCCGCGTAGTCTCTAAGTTGTATTACATACGGTGTATCTTACGTGAACACATTTCTTTTTCCAAAAGTATGGTTTATTCCCAGTCCTCCAGGGGTTACTTCCCTTCTTTCAACACACTCTTCCTCTGTCACCTCACATAGTGACGTGTTGATACTCTGCTTGTCGCCTTCTAAATAGGGAAGTTAATATTATGTTTCATTTGATTTTACATGACTTTATATTTAATTTTATTTGAACCTCTCCGTATTCCAATTATTTCAAGTTATTTAATTATTTATCTCTGAATACGTTCTGGTGCTACTCCTTGCCCCTTCGAATTCATTCCCCAAAACGACAACAGATATCTACAGTTGTGATGAGTAAATCATATTATATATATCCTGCACCTTGACTTTATCTAACCATTCTATGACCGTATTCGCATTTTATTGTGCAGGTGCTTAAGCCAAGTATAGATAACTAATTTACAAACATATTTATCTGACTACCCAGGTGTATGTAATTATCATTATATACCATCTTAAACAACATGGTAGAGCACGCACACACACATATATATATGAATATGAATATGAAAATAAACCTGTTAGACATTTTAAAATGTTTAATGATTCATAATTAAATGTCCCGTGATAAGATTAACACACTCTTGTAAATGGACGACGAAAGCAAACCAAAACCATGCAACAACAATGTCATGAATATATCATAATATATTATATACAAATATAAAAAAACAAAACAGCTTGTATTGATAACCAAGGAATAAATCATATTTCTATATACATTGTACACATTTTGTTGTTGCTGCTGCTGTTGATAATAAAGAATGTTTATAACATTTGAATTTACGATTCGGCCATTGTTCCATACACGACGTTTGATATCTATGTTCTGAGTCCCACATGAATAGACTTTATCTAAACTTAATTTTTTTGGTATTTTCAACTTATTTCCTTCCAAAATGCTTCCACGATGTCGGAAATATTACGATGATCAGTAGTCTCTCTTGGTTCTCGAACGTTAGGTAAATGAATCAACCTTCGTACAAGTAAGATGCAAAAGGTACTTGACCCAACGAGTAACCTGATCCACAACAATACAAAGGTACTTGACATACACTACGTAATCTCGAGAAGGATATTGGACTGTACACTCAAGTTACTAGTATTGTGAAAATATAATGAATACATTTGAACATTCTGTACGTCATACACACATAAATTCATTCAAATATTCATAGGCAGTAAACGCAAGAAAAAAAACTTCTAGGGTAAATTAATCATGTTTTCAGGCAAGCACTTTCGAAGAGGCGATACATAATTGATAAAGTATATCCGTGCTTCATAACAAAACAATATAACAGAACATTGACATCTCGAAGCTAGGCTAGTGGTTTATGCTTCGAAGTGCCTCCTCAAGCCAAATATTAATAACATTCACAATCAGTCATGGAACGCATGCCTTCTTTGAGAACTGTTGTTAGTCTTGCCCAAAATGATGCTCTTGCGTCATCTTCTTCTCCCCATGTGATGTAGGCCGTGTCAATGAGCAGCCTGTGGAGGGAGTGACTCAGATTGCGGGCGTCTGGCTCTCCCAGCAGCACTGTAATGAGAGCGTCAGCCCGAATATCAAGGACGAAGCTTTGAGCCATCATCAAACCTGCTTGGCACCAGTCGCTATCAGCAAAGGAAGGGGACAGGACGACGATGATGTGGCGGCTTGTCTGTATGGCCAGGTCAATGTTGTCAAGGATGTAGCCTGAACAGAAATTTCTGCTGGGAATACACAGCTTCAAGTGATGTTGTTCCTCTAGTTTGGGGATCATCTCGTCCACCACCCAGTCTTCATCATCATCACTGTGAATTATGTAGGCATCATATGTATAGTCCTGGTTATGTTCTCGGTTCCTTTGTCGTTTTGGGCGATAGTATTTCATGTAAATGAAATGACGAATACGCCATCTCAACTTGTACAGGAAGGAAATGGAGCACACAACAACTATGATTACTGACAGAGATACTAGCATAGTTGTTATAATATCTAACGTTAAGTAGCAAGCATTCGGACTGAAAGCGATGTCCTTTAGCATTACGTGCCTCTTTGTGTCAGGACTGTTGCATACATATCGTTTAGGGTACTGCTTAAATAGGGAGCTGTTTCTTTGTACCCAATCAATAAACCACCTGAGGCTACAGTCACAGGTGAAAGGGTTGTCTGCTAGGTTTATGACAGATAATTGTTCTCGTAAGTGTTTTGGTATGGCATGTTCAGAGATAGTAGCTATCTCATTTTGGTCAAGCCACAGTTTTCTCAGATGAGTCAAATTGGAAATGATTCCTTCTGGAATTTTTGTAATTATATTACTGTACAAAGAAATGGCGTTTAAATGTTTCATTTTCTGAAGGAACAGAGGAATATTTTGAAGTTGACAAGAGCCCATATCAAAGTTCTCCATGTATTTTAAGTGTCCGAAGAAATTTAGCATTTGATCTTCTGTCACATCCTTAAATCTATTGGCCGTTACATCAAGGTTATGTATGTGTATGCCCCTGAAAGCGTCTTCATGGACCTGTGTACCAAATGATATATGGCTGTTAGTCAGATATAATCCCCTCAGGCGACTGCTATTGAACGCATAGGACTCAATGTCTGGTTTCTCTGGCAGAGATCTCAACAAGAGTTGAAATAAATTCGGGAGTCCAACAAAAGTATTGCTGGCTATGCGTCTTATAGGATTTCCACTTAAACACAGTGTTTCTAATTTGGGCAGACATTTGAAAACATTACTGATACTACTCAAAAAGTTGAAACCAAAATCCAAATATCTTAAGTTTGGAAAAATGGGAGTATTGTCGTCGTCTTCGCAAAATGTAGGGCATGTACTAATGTAATTTTCAGAAATACCCAAATGTTGTAATGATGTCGACGTAACAAATGTGTGTTGAGAAATACGATTATGATTTACATTAACTGTGACTATATATATTTTGTTCGAAAATACAGAGTGGTTGTAAACTCTTAATTGGTTGTAATTAAGAAAAACATGCCCCAAACGCCCCGCCTTCATATGGTAGATGAATGTCATATCACTGATATTTAGATCACTCGCATGTAAAATGGATAAACGGGGTAACACAGAAGTAGTCAAAGCAGGAGTCAAAGAAGAAACTGGGTTGTAGTTCATCGACAGTGAAGTGAGATTTGTGAATTCTTGGAAAGTGTCAGCTGCCATATGTTGAATTCTACAGTTATCGATTTTCAACGTTTCAATATTAATCGTTGTAATATTAAGAAATAAAGCATGGGATATGGCTGTAAAAACATTCCATGAGATATCTAGTGAGGATGTACCCGCATCGAGTCTAGGTATGAAGGTCAAGTTCTTCCCGCTGCAGTCCGCACATGTTGCATGACACACGCAGTGTCCATCACCACATGCATGTGTTGGCATCGTACATAACGATGGGTGGGTAAGTGGTACAAGAACTGTCACTATCCAACAAATCTGAAGACCTCTGATGAACATGGTGGTACCTTAAATGCAACAAAAAAAATAAATTGGTAATCGGGTGGAACTCTTTATCAGTTACAACATGTTATAGAGGGGGGAATGTTTCGTGAACGACGTAACATCTTCCAGTATGATATATATTGCGAAATAGAAGAAAACGAATAAAGACATTAATCAACAGTATGAACAGATAATCGTTTTGTTCCCTTTATTGTATGAAATTGTATAATTTCTGAAAGTACTCATGTATTTCTATACTTGTGAATAATTGAGAGTTTTTGGTGGTGAAATAGACAGTCAACTATATAGGATCTTATGTTAAGGTTCTTTTTTCGCGATATATTTGATTCGAAATAGATACATATAGTGCTCCACGCAATTCTACGCCCACCCCTTCTCTCTTCCCCCCCACCCCCATCATTCCATGCAGCCACTTCCTACAGACTTTATCCGACGCTCACAAGGAGAAAATCAGCATGAGGAAGGATAACATGGTGGACAGGTGCTTCCTATCAAAATGATATATGACCATACCCTCAGAGATAACAAATCTATCCTCATACAGGTCTGTTTGTTGCTCAACGCCACACAATGTCATACAATGGCGGCCCGTACTAAACGAGTCTGGACCAGCAAATCCATCGAACTACGCAGCTGAGATACGATGATATGCATGAATTGAGTCAGTGAGTCTGACCACCCGATCTCGTTAATCTCCTCTTACAACAATTCTAGCCCGGACCTCAAATGCAGATCACCCAAACAGGAGATGGGGCTTGCCCCAGTGGGAGGCACGGAACCGTCCAAGAATATCTTGGATACACCGACTAAAGGGCACACGTCTTGAGAGTGCAAAATCAACAGAATGGCCAGACATTCCGCCTGCAAATGGCAAATTATTTAAGCGGCATGTGATATACCTATTGAGAAACGAAGGCCGACTAAACAATACAAATTCAAAATTTAATATAATACAAAATAAATTCAAAGAATCAGTTTAACAAAGACTTAATAGTGGCTATAATCCGAATCACCCAAAGTAAGATAACTAACCGAAACATGGAAAGATATGTCCTTGATAGAACTTTGCTTGAAGTTACTTTATTGTGAGCATACAAGGACAAACTAAATCAATTTGTAATATATTCACAATACACAAATATTCTTGGTGCGTTTGGCCGTCTTAGCTGCGGGTAAAGAGGGCAAGGGCCCTGAGCTGATGATGAGTCTAACCAACTAAATCAATTAGTAACATTTGCCATGTATATAAATGTCTTCATAAAATAACTGTCAGGCCAAATCCTCACAACACAGAAGTAGGAACTGTTCATGCTCAAAACAGAGATATTAACCAGATAGGTATGTGCATTTTGTACTGTGTTATGTTTTGGTGCAATTTACTTCTCTCGCTGAAATATATCGATTAAAATGTTCATAAGGTTTTCGTGACTTCCCTCTTTATCAAGAACCTAGCCCGTATGAAACCTACACGCCCCTGTTCGAGAGTTAATATTTATCTTTCTTGGATGTGAGGAAGGAGAGAAACCATAAAACCATATTTATCATCGTGTAAACAGGTCCTATACCATTAACTATTTGTCAGGGTTATAACTAATACGAGGAAGTAAATAACTGAATAAGGAAGTGCTTATGAAAAGCTGTACTCTTCACCTAAAGCACATACAGTTTACACATTCAAACGTAATACACCAGAACTTGATACTTCGGAAAACATGATCAACATAGATGACATAACAAAGGCTGTAAACTCTATGAACAATAACAAAAGCACTGGTATCCATGGCTTCTCAATAGAAATTTTCAAACCTTTCCTGGGCAGATCTTGGAATATGCATATAGATATACAAATACATTACTGAAAAAATTAGAATTAATCAGCAGAGGCACAATTACAGCTACTAAACATTGGCGTCAAAATTCTCTGTTAAATTCAGTATAAACGTCTGAGAATATATACTCTCCCAAACAAGAAACGCATCATGAAAATACCAATTTCATGTAGCAATGAATTAAAACGTGATTCATTTTACAAAAGGTTTTGCTCTGTTTATGAGTCCTATGGTGTTTATGTTTTGAAACATCACAACAAAATGCACCATCCGTAAAATACCCGTATTTAACAGCATGATTTTCAATTTCGGCGTGTAGTGTCACAGAATACACAATTCACATGCAATGCACGTGATCAGTTGGGGATCAGATAGTCTCAATGATGGGTATAAAAGGTTGATATCTGTCTGTCGATTATTCACTGTATTTGGAATATTGTTGACGAACGCAAAATGCCATGCCTAAGTGAAGCCAACCGTCATATCGCCATTGGTTTGCTTGAAGCTGGCCAGCCTCAACGTGCAGTTGCCCGACGCATGAATGTTCACCAAAGCACCATTTCACGGCTCTGGGAGAGATATCGCCGGCAGAATTCGGTAGCAGATGCCCCTCGTAGTGGGCGACCTCGAGCGACCACTGCGGCGCAGGATCGCTACATCCGGGTACATCACCTGCGTCATCGAACAGCTACGGCGACCAGTACTGCTCGACAAATACCCGGATTGAGGAGGCTTTCTGCACAGACCGTCAGGAACAGGTTGGGAGAGGCTGGTTTACGTGCCAGAAGACCTTATTTTGGCCCTGTGCTTCGACAACAACATCGTCGACATCGAGTTCAATGGTGCACCAACGTTCAGGCCTGGAACCTACCGAATTGGCGTAGAATCTGTTTCAGTGATGAATCACGATTTCTATTGGAACGACGCGATGGAAGAATGCGTGTGTACAGACGTCGACGTGAACGTTTCGCCGACGCTTGCGTTTCCCAGGTGGACAGATTCGGCCGGGGAGGTGTTATGATGTGGAGAGCGATCACCTGCCGTAGGAGAAGTGATTTGTTGATGATCCAGGGCAACCTGACGGCTCAACGGTACTGTGACGAAATCCTACGCCCACACCTCCATCCAACCATTGATCGCCAGAGGGAGTTGTTTCAACAGGACAATGCCAGGCCCCACACAGCATGTCACACTAGAGACTTCCTCCAGAACCACAACATCAATGTGCTTCCCTGGCCCTCAAGATCACCGGACTTAAACCCGATCGAACATCTGTGGGATGCCCTGGACAGACGGGTGCGACGCCGTAACCCTCAGTCCCAGACACTTCAGCAACTCCCACAGGCACTACAGACAGAGTGGGCTGCGATTGGGCAACACGAGATTCTGAGACTTTTTCGTTCGATGCCGAGGTGATGCCGTGCTGTTCTGGATGCCCATGGTGGTCACACGAGGTATTGACTTCAGCGCCACCACACGTCTCCATGTGACACTAAAACTGACTTTCCTCGAGTTGGTGCCAAAAACGGATAAGTCTGCATTCCCAGTGTGCAATTTCGCTATATTTCATTGACTCATAACGCCTACATTATGTTTCAAAATAAAGATAAAAATACAGTTGAAATTCATATATGCGTTTCTTTTTGGGAGAGTATATGTAGCATATAGAATAAAAAGGACACTTAATACTCATATGCACGAAAACCAAACTGGCATTATCTCTTGAGGACGTATAAGAAACAACTATATGATATCGAATTTGAAACAAAGTTACAAAATTTGCCTGTTGTACTATTACCTAGAGTCTTTGGAAAGGTTTTCATATGGTTTCAAAACAATTCACGTGACACTGGACAATCTGACGTTGGAACAAATATGAGAACATGGATTTACATTATGATGATACATAACGCTTCCTCTTGTGTCATACAAAACAGACATCTAACGACAGGGAATGCAGAAAGTGTGTGAATAATGCTAGTTGCAGAAAGTGTGTGAATAATGCTAGTTGCAGAAGTGGGTGAATAATGCTAGTTGCAAAAAGTGTGTGAATAATGCTAGTTGCAGAAAGTTTGTGTATAATGCTAGTTGCAGAAATTGTGTGAATAATGCTAGTTGCAGAAAGTTTGTGTATAATGCTAGTTGCAGAAATTGTGTGAATAATGCTAGTTGCAGAAGATGTGTGAAAAATGCTAGTTGCAGAAATTGTGTGAATAATACTAGTTGCAGAAAGTGTGCGGATAATGACATGTGATAACAGTGCAAAAGACATATCCAGCTGATTATTGTAGAATATAAACTTGGACACTATTACATTTACAAATGTATCTGAACGATATGATGAAGGCCAACTGAGAATGATAGAGGTGTGGTCTTTTATAAACAATAATACGTACATACAAATAACGATTGTCTGAATGTTTGAACAGCAACGCATTGATAATATAACTAATAACTAATAATAAAAGTAACATGCGGTTAGAAAATGAATCTTTATAGTTAAATTAGAAACAAGACCCGAAAAGATGATTGAAGCAAACTGTACATGTATGTGTCCATGCTTAATATTCATCCTCTTGATATGACTGAACTTCGAAATAATGCTCTCATTGTCACATCTACATGTTATCTATTTTGTGCTGAATTAACACCAATGTCAATCTTCGCTCTGTAACATGTCATGTGTTTCAGAGTCACTTCAAACTGTAAGTTATTATCATATCAAGTGTCCTTACCCTGTGTCTTCTTAGAAAATAAGGACGAGATCCACGACAAGCTTGAGAAACAGAAAGCTCTGCTATAATATTATAATCTCCCAATGTATTCTCTGTCAAGTGTTCACTTGGTAGTTATGTTATCACCTTAGCTACTCAACCGAAAGCAGTAACCTGTACAAAGCAGTGCACTGATATGACGCTACAGTGACAAACTTCCTTGCTAAAAATATTACGCCTGAATCCGTGTGAAAGTGTGTTACAAACTTAATTCCTTGCATAAATATTCAATTGCATAGTTTTCAAATTATCATTTCCTCATACGGATGAACGAGGTTAAAGCTCATGCTAGCCTAGCGTTTAAAGCGTCCGGTCCATACGCTCACCACTCCCAAAACCCAGGTTCCATTACACACGTGGATACAATGTATGAAGCCAATTTCTGGTGTCCCCCGCCGTGATATTGCGGAAATATTGCTAAAAGCAGCGTAAAACTCAACTCACTTAGTTTACAACAGCTTTGAATGTATTTAATTAAATATTTCGTGTCAGCTTGCTATTGTAATCAAATTGTAAACAATATTCATGGAATTTAAGTAAAATATTTGTAAAATGTCTTGGCATATTTCCTTTCGGCAAACATCGACTATTATGGTCCATTTTCTCCCATTCTTATCCTGCAAACAGATTAAAGGAAAAATGAGATGACCAGAAAATGCCATGATTTTAATATGATCCGTAATGATGACGTTTAATGGCAGGGTCAGTTAATAGTTCTGATATTTGGTCCCCTGGATTATCATACATGAAAAGCCATTTGACATAAAAAATTCTCTTCAGAAGTTGTTTTATCAAGGTTACAACATTCAAGGCCTCAGTAAAGCTTTCAAGAAGTTTCATGGTATACATGTGGAGGGAATTTCCATATTTGATGCACCTTTTGACAAACATGATGTCCAATGACATTCCCTGTTTTCACTAACACCATATGTTCCCGCATTATTTCAGTTGAACAACTGACTAGACTTACCATATACTTATGACGGGTGCCACAACTGACTAGACTTACCATATACTTGTGACGGATGCCACAATTGACTAGACTTACCATATACTTATGACGGATGCCACAACTGACTAGACTTACCATATACTTATGACGGATGCCACAACTGACTAGACTTACCATATACTTATGACGGATGCCACAACTGACTAGACTTACCATATACTTATGACGGGTACCACCGGTGGGGCAGGATACGCTCACCTTTTCGCGAACAGTTGGTATCATTACTATTTGCTACACTTGCTATGTCATCGTATCGCATGGTGACAATCACTGGTCCAGACACGATTTGTTTACAAGCAGCATTTTATAGCTATAATACTGCTGAAACAAATATATACTCATGGTAACGTCACTATTCTACAATTGACTCTTCTTTTAGCAGAGATTTCTTGGAAAGGGTTTGGTCGCATCTATTTCTATCACATTTACGATTGTACTCGCCAAATGTTCTGTGTCCGTTTAAGGATATTCCTTGATCTGAAATTACTTGCGTACTATCAAACACCTTATCGTTGAATTGTGTCTTGATACATTGACTAGGAACATGGTGGGACCCTAGTAACCCTGACGTCTGAGTTGCGTCTCCTGTGCAGTCCAGAAACCCAGGACTGGAGGTTCGAATCTCGATTCTCGATATATTTCAAGGTTTGTCAGCGCCATACCATACTCGTCAGGTTCAACAAAATACAGAACGTGTAAGACCGGCATCACTTTCATCCCATATGAAGCTTGATATTATCACTGAATGCTGTTCCAAGCGAGGTTATCGTCGGTCACTCAAACAAACACACATCTTTCTGGTTGGTTACTGTGTTAGAATGTAAGGAAACATAACACACATTGTCTTACAGAAACGGGTAACAGTTTATTGCAGCAACTGTATACATGTGCATGGTAATCTATACGATCAAATAAATGTAAAACAGGATATATTCATAAATCTACAAATACTGGAGAGTCATTTGGCAATTGGAATTTAACAGAATGTCTTGTGAAAAAATCATAACTGTATATACATGTACATCCAGTACAACTGAGTAAATAAGTATAAAGATACCAATAGATTGCCGAATATCTTGGACACTATATGCGAACGGCCAGTAAGTATTTGCTACTGTGAAAGTTAAATATGAAACATGTAAAAATGTGGCAAGTATTATATATCACAGATATAGCATGAATATCATCTGAAAGTCTATCAAAAAGCTACTGTACACTTTTATCACAGTCGTGCGCTATTACCATGTGCACTGCTTTAGTTTGTGGACGGATGAATTGCACTTCTATTGTCTGACCACAATTTACCATTCAAGTTTTGACTCATCATTGAATCATGAAAGTATTTTTAAACCGATGCACAGCTTCATTATTGACAAATGCAACTTTACAATTCTAAGAGTACTGACTAAATTAACTGAACAAAATGACATCATAGTATTGCAACAGTTAAAAATAACCTAGTCTTGGAGGACTAATAAATAAACCAGTTCAAATATACAAGGGCTGTCACGACTGCACGGGTCCTGTCATCCCCTATGTTAACAAAAATGACTACCAGGATACAGTTCTGAATATGTATTATGATGAACGTAGCTATGGTACCATATTTTCATATTCATTGCCTGTGGTGTAGATTGAGATTAGGTCCCCCTCACAGTCACGGCCGTCTAGGCAATGGATTCAATGTCTTCTGTTGACAGAAACAAAGACAGATATAAGAATACTAAATGATTGCACAAAGCTAAAGGACTTGTCAGTAAAATGATACCAGTGAAAACTAATGATTGGAGTGACGCCGCTTTTAGCAGTACTCCAGTAATCATAGAGCGTGTCAGCTTAATGTAGGAGGGAATTTCGAACTGATGCCGATTACAGATGTTCTTGACATGGTCCTGACGAACCTGGAATCAATGAGGTCCCGAACCCGCAATCAGCAGTTTCTGGGGCGCCTAAGGTACACAACTCTGCATAGGGAATTGAGGTGCCTCAGAGAACGTCCTTGTAACATTTGCTCTTGAATAAAATGCCTCAATACACAAATACAGAACGATAAAGAGGAATGTGACTACAACACGAAGACATTTCGACGAGATAAGGATGATAATAAGAAGATGAGGATGAGGGTTGAATTGTGAAGGTCAGTTCCCTTACTTGCAAGTTGTCGGTATCTGCAGACTCTGAGTTTTTGTGAGAGTGTGGTTAGGGTTGCGTTGTCTCCGTTCTGTTCCCGCCAGAGTTGCAGACTGGAGTAGCACCGGTCCTGGCTGGTGGGACGACTCCTTTCAATATCCACCATGTCCGAGTCGCTCACACCCAACCGCCTCGCAAAGTGCTTCCAGTTCACGGTCACGCTCTGATCTCGCGCTATCTTCACAAACGCCTTCCGAAGGTAGGAATCTGATCAAAGAAAACCAAACCTGTTTTCACACTGTATAGCAATTTTACTGGTTATAAGTGTGTGACATAAGTGTGATGTGAACATACAGTTGAAACTGTTTGTGTGTGGGTTGTGCCGCGATTTTCAACGTTTCCAAATTTGATGAAATCAGTAACAAAAATGTAGATTTTTTTCAGTGTACCGTGTGTTTTCGTCCATTTTCAGGTAAACGATTGACTAGCCTTTGTATATTTTGTGACGGGTGTCACTGGTTGGGCAGCATGGTCTCACCTTTCAGTTATCACCTGGCGTTATGATTACGACATAGTACACACATGTTCATGATATAGTACACACATGCCATGATATAGTACACACATGGTCATGTTATAGTACACACATGTTCATGATATAGTACACACATGTTCATTATATAGTACACATAATTTCATGATATAGTGCACACGTGTTCATGATATAGTACACAAAATTTCATGATATAGTACACATGTTCATGATATTGTACACACACATGTTCATATATTACACACATGTTCATGATATTGTACACAGATGTTCATGATATTGTACACACATGTTCATGATATTGTACACAAATGTTCGTGATATAGTAGAATATACTTGTAATAGTTCTAAATTGCTTTTAGCCATATGACTATAGAAAATATCGCTTTTACTATGATTTGGGAAAGGTTCTATTCAATGGGAGCTATCATAATGTCTTTGGGTCTATACCATATACTATACTGCAGCGAAATAGTTGGACATTCATTACTTCCATTGATTGTGGGTTGGACTGTTCAGGTCATACAGGTTGTAATTTCGTTTCTTGGTGGACTATATTTCAATGAAATTGCTTCTGGAAATATATGGAAGCCGATTGCCTACCTCTAGCACTAAAAGATCGTTGACGTTTGAACTCAATCTTCCTTTCTCTGAGTTCCGCTGCTAGGTCTCCTCGGCCCGCAGACATCAGGGCGTGGTACAATATATCCACCTGCACAGCGAAACGATCATGTATCAATTCCCATGCGCAACCATACAGATCCTATAGTTTCGTATGGAAACAATGATATGTGTGTGAAGATAAAAGATGATAGTGACAATAGTGTTATTGGGAACCAAGAGAGAAACGTTTGCACAAGAGGGACTGCATTGCTAGGTCGTGTAGATATGTTTACTGATGCAAATTCAGAGAAAAGAGGTTACGGTATATGTTACAACATTGAAGCAAAATATTGTATGTCTCCAGCTACAGCAACCCTTCTATATACACGTGACATAGTACACAGTGTCGCACAACAGTGTCCCTACTGCTGACACTCAGCACTTACAAGTGTCCTACCAATTGGGTTGTGTCGAAGACCGTATTCAAGCTTTATCATGGCGTGGGAGGAAATCCCGAAGTAACACAGGTCTTGGGCTTTTTCCACTTTGTGTTACAGACGAGCACGGGTATGTACTGATAAATCATGACTGAGATCCAACAATCAAAGCTTTCTAGCGTGCCCAAGGGACGGAACTCTTTCTAATTCAAATGTATAATACACATGATCTTTGGGACTTTTTCATATTTCCCACGATGTGTATGGTAGCCTAGCGGTTAAGGCGTTCGCTCGTCACGCTGAAGGCCCGGGTTCGATTCCCCGCATGCACACAATGTGTAATTTCTTGTGTCCCCCGCCGTGATATTGCTGGAATATTGCTAAAATCGGCGTGAAACCCAACTCACTCACTCCCACGATGTGTCACCAAATCCTGTATTCGAAATTCACATCCTGCATTAATGCGTGAAAATCTACCAGAAGGTGAAATATGACACATACATTTTTCCTTCCTTAGTCATACATTAGAGCATCAAGACGTATGTCGCCATGTTTATCAGCTATAAACCTGTCATGCCATTAGTACCATGTAACATGAATTGGATTGACAGAAGCCCTTGAATCGGCGTCAGGACACGCCTTTCTGTACGAAAATATTGGAGTCTGTATTTACTGTGGAGTCGTAGAAGGTACATCGTCGAGTTGTCGCCCTTGCATGGTCCCCCCAAATGTTTGAACATTATCATGTGTGAGGTCCATTTCGGGTGTCCCCCTGCTATGATACTACTTGAATATTGCTAAAAGCGGCGTGAAACCAAACTCAGTCACTTACTCAGCATCCAAAGTGTTAACGCACGTTTTTGTAAGTTCATTAAAGTGAACGTTGTAAGAGAATTGTGCGCGCACACCACTGGGTGTGCCACCGACAATAAAACATGGATGTGCAATATGACAATTTCATGAAGGTGTATTCCAGTTATATCACGACGCGTCAGCTTCATGTGGGAGGTCAGATGTGACGCAAGTCTCACACGTATTCATGGTATTCAAGTTGGTGAAATCCGCGAGCACGGAAATGGTACTGACATACTTACTAACCTACAATAGGGTCGAGCCAGGATTCAAACCCCACAATCATATCACGCAACTGAACGAAATGCGGCGCCTTATACACCTAAGCCAGTCGTGCTTCCAACAAAATGATGAATCACTGTACATAATGGCAAGGCCCTGTCCTGCACATACCTGTAGGCTATGTTCAAACTATGCGAGTAAGTGAGTTAGTAAGTGAGTGAGTGAGTGAGCATGATTTTACACCGCTGTTAGCAATATTCCAGCAATATCACGGCGGGCGACACCAGAAATGGGCTTCACATATTGTACCCACGTGAGGACTCGAACCCGGGTCTTCGGCGTGACGAGCGAACGCTTTAACCTCTAGGCCACCCCACCGATCGATCCATCGGTCCCCATCGATCATCCATATGACTGGGTGAGAATGAAACAAGCCACCGTTACTGATGGTCGTGTTAAATTAACTTACCCTATCAACTGCTCTCGGTAATCGCTTCGACCATGTCGTCAGCATGTCGTAGACCTTGTTTGTGTTGTCGTTGTTGACGTTCTGTCTCAAGATGGCCTGAATACGCATCCTCCTGACGTTGAGGTACTGGGCTAACTTTTTCCACTCATCCCCAAGTTCTCGTGCGAGGTGAAACAGCAGTTCGTTATCAACAGGACCTGCAAGCCAAAGGGAAGTAACTCATGTAACCTTTAATACTAGCTTTAGGGTGGGCGCAAAACGTGTTCCTTACAATTGCTACAGCTAAAGCCCCTCAACGAGTTCGAATATTCGAAACCATTCCACTAACACGAGTGAGTGATATAGGCACCAAAATACTACAGCTATATGACCTGCCAACGATTCAATGACCTACAAATTAATTAATATGTAACTGGTCCGCGATACAAACACTATTTTTTGGCTGGAGTGTTTAAAATGTCACCAGTATTGCATTAACTACGAGTGCGATTACAAACAATTAGAATGGTTGTTTTTACCTTCTGATGCATTCGATAAAGGTGCTGTTAACAAACGTTTCGGTGGTTCTGGCTCTGGCTGAAAGAGTATCCATATATTAGTTTCAAATAAGCAAAAACATACTGTTTATTTATTGTGTTATTTAAGAATATATTTTTAGTTTCTAAACACTATGCGTGTAAATGAAAAATTATTTTTTACCATGGTTCATCATTTTGATGATCATTACCTTTGGTATTGTCATAAGCAGCTCTGAAATTAGGACTTCTCCTATCACCATGACAACACGTGGTTGAGGTTTTTGAGTATTCCCACGCTTTGACTCTCTGTTGTTGTCTTCTGCTGGAGGGAGTGTTTTGGGCACGAGACCTTCTGTGAACAACTGAGCAAATCCACGGTAACTGTCAAAACCTTTTTGTGCAAATGTATCCACGGTTTCAACAGCGAAATCCACTCTACATGATATATGTGAATTGAAGACAAACTGGTGTTTGAAGTCATCTGTCTCTGGTTTGAGGTTTCCCCTGAACTTGAGATAAATGATTTGGCCTTCTTTCACACTTATTTCCTTGCTGAGAGGTGGTCCTTCCTCGAAGCCTTCGTCTTCAAGCTTTCGTAGAGACCTGTCCACGCGAGACACATTAGAACAGGAAATGAGGATCTCATTGAGGTTCTCACTGTGTTGGCGGAGGAACAGCTGGATTGTCCTCTGCGGAATTGCCTCATTGAGGGTAGCTGCGATCTGTTCTACTTGTGTGTTTGTCGCTTCAAGCTTAGTTCTAATTATTGAGAATCTGCAACAGTAACGGTTGAACTTAATGTATGCACACTGTAACCATGTCATATGGGATGAACAGTTGTTTTAAAAAAATTCATAATTTTAACCAGTATAGAAATCACAGGGTGGTGATGATGATTAATGTGGGTATGTGTGTGTCCATCTATTTTGTTCTGGAGAGGTGGTGTGTGTGTGTGTGTGTGTGTGTGTGTGTGTGTGTGTGTGTGTGTGTGTGTGTGTGTGTGTGTGTGTGTGTGTGTGTGTGTGTGTGTGTGTGTGTGTGTTAGTTATTCTATTTTGTACACATGTAATGGAGGGGGGGGGAGGGGTCGGCATTGATTAAGTACATGACATGCACTTTGTACATATATTTTAGAATTTTAGGGGGGGTCATTCACATTGTACATGTTTCTCCATATAAATCATCATCACCCCAAAGCCAAAAATTATGCACAGATCCCTAATGGCTTACCTTTCGTACAATTTGTTGATATCAAAGGTTACAATATCTTTATTCTTGGCCTGCACTAATGTGACATCGGTAACCTTCACCCATGTGCCGTCAGAGAGATACTGCACAAGATGGAGGCCGTCCACTGGTGTTTCCTCTGCAAAACAATGAGTATACGTTTTCAAAGCAATATCAGAATGCTGAACGTGTAAGTGAATGTGTGTGGAGTGAAAGAACACTTTGAATTGTTTTACGTCTGTAGTTAGGTTAATCCTTCAGTGACATTGCTTGGTGACTCTTGCCCAACAACAAACAGCGGGACCTGATCTGGCTAAGGCACATCACTTACGTTAAATAGTGCGCCTTAACGAAGATACCTGTACCCCGAAGATCATGTCACAAAATTATATCGTTTGCGAAAACAGTTATCACACAATAACATAGCATTGGAACTGTGTCACTCTGTGTTCAAAATCATCACAAAATTCCACGTCAGTCTTACTAACCTTCCTTCTTGGTGAAGATGACTCCTGGCTTGGCAGTGGCCGGACGAATGTCTATTTTGTCCGTTTTCTCTTCCCTGTTTACGCTCGTCCCAGGCCTCTTGAGCCTTGAGGGGTTCGGGGGAACGGGAAGGGTGACTGTGAGAGGTTTTTGAAACTTTTTAAGAAGACTTCCGAGTTTGATGATGGGACTCGATGCAAGGAACGTTGAACACTCCGACCTCTTCTTGCGGAGATCCGAAACTAATGATATGTCCACTGACTGAACCTGAAACAGTTTATTATTTTGTTTGGTACTGCTATATTTTGATCACAAAAGCTGTTGTTCTAGTCAACCGATCAGATTCGGGGATGAGTTACTTCTTCTTGGAAGGGTCTACGCTTATTCAAGAAATCGATCAAAAAGGTACCGTGGCCTTGACTCCCATGTTGTTACTCGTGTATTTGATAAAGTCACGTACACAAGAAAGTACACACCTTGGGTTTTTTCTTGTTTTTATGGGGTGGAAAGTGAAAGTTTTTTTTATTGTGACTTAATCTCATAAACATTGCTTACATGTTGCCAAACCACCACCGCAGATAACCTTATTAGTGTAATGCCTGGGGTATAATCAAAATTATGATTTTATTTTTGGGAAAATAATCCCAAAAAATCAGGTGTGTATTTTCTTTTGTACGCCAGTTTAGAATTGGCTAATATGGAGTTATAGAACAAGGACCAGTTACCAACTTTTCATTGATGTGGCATTCTCTCGCGTGACTATATATCTAACATAATCAACGCATCCCTGATTATAATGTTGTAAAAAAGTACAATTTCTGTTGCCTTTATCAGGAAATTCTTTCGCGGTTAAAAAACCCTGTTAGCTCTTTTTATACCCTTCACCAAAACATTCTGGAAACAAATACTTGTGATCAAACAAATCATATTCACGGTTATACCTCGAGATAGACTAACATCTAGTCTCTGAAATGAACATATTTTACAAAATAAAACGGTTGATAAATAATAACCATGAATTATAACGAAAAGGAAGCGTGAGACTTTCTTCATTTTCAGAAAATGTGGAAATCAGACTTGCCACATATTCTAGACTTGTATGGGTTTTCTTGGATATATTTTTTCAGGGTCTGTATGACACACTAACCTCGAGGTTGAAACTGGCATTCTGCTTGAAACACATCTGCTTTGCCGTGAAGGTGACGCGGGAGTCAACCGAGGATGTCACCTTTCCCCCTTTCTTCGTGAACGTCATCGTGTCCTTCTTGATCTTGTAGATGACGGCGAATGTACCAAACCGCTTTAACCTAGCCTCAACAAAACGCAGCTCCTGAAAATATATTTGTACCACGACTATATCACATTGGATAATATTTGTTGGAAGAGTCGTTGCCTTAAATACTTCCTGAAATGATTAGGATCTTTTGTCTGGATTATACTGAGTGTATGACCGGAGAGCGTAAATTGCGTGTTGAATGAGGCTCTGATATATGAACATGATGCCAATGAACATGATGCAGTCAGGGCCTTATTTGCTAGGGGCGGTGGGGTAGCCTAGTGGTTAAAGCGTTCACTTGTTACGCCGAAGACCCGGGGTCGATTCCCCACATAGGTACAATGTGTGAAGCCCATTTCTGGTGTCCTCTTCCGTGATATTGTTGTAATATTGCTAAGAGCGGCGTAAGACTAAACTCATTCACTCACTTTATTTGCCAGAACTTTGGGCAAGTTACAATACCGTGAAGAGTTTATTCCTTGCTAAATCGACGACAAACATGCTGCGACGTTATGTCCTTTTATAAGACCGTATATCTGAGTGAAATCAGGAATCTGAATTTCACAGGTCATAGTCCACTAACTGACTGGAAACACATTGCAGCGAAATGTGGTTTCCAACCAAAGCTACTGCGGAACGCATAATAAGTATATTATGTTTTACTGGCCTAGTGTCTTAGTTCAAATATGAACACAGAGTTATTTCACATGTATTAATATTGAAGCGTAAAGGTACATCAGTGCGTAAGAGATAAACACAATGACCTTAATTCCACTTGCCCTTACTTTACTGGCGGTGACAACAGTTTCAGATATATCACATTACGACTAAGCATAAGCAGTCTTCATTCAGGGGATGAATTAATTCCTATAGCTGAACCCTGAAATAGTCGCTAAACAGTGCAGAGACATATAAATTATCCCCACTATTGACTTCAAGAAACTTAATTCGTCAAACACGCATACTTGTACGTTAGCTATCGAATATTGAGTTAGGCCTATCGTGCACGGTGTCCAGCCGTAAGTGATTTCATTGATCGGGTATTGACTATGTAGTCCTACCCGGCGACTCTGTAATGAGGGTTGTGTGAATTGCACAACGGCCTAGAAACTATGGTATAATCGCGTGTAAATTACAGAATACGAGTAGAATGTCAACACCAACCCAGATGATCAATGCCTACCTTGCGTGTGGTGATAATTTCAAATTCAGACCTGCTGGCAATAGATTAGGTGTAACATAATTAAGGATACAATGTGTTACGCAATGAAAAGAAATTGTTTTCAGGTTTGACGTGCTATTTCGCATATTCCTACAGTAGTAATGACTAATATAATATGTAATGGTGGAGTGTTATTGTGTAGAAACATGCATACATTCACAAAAGACACACTGTATCCGTTCGTGTACAACGTAAGTCACTGTTTATACAGCGATCTGTCTGGATTATAGAATTAATGTACGAGTCCGAATCTTGTTTTACAATGCAAATGTGAAGCTACATCTGAAATACCCGCCATCCTCCATCATGAAAAAAACGACCCCTTTGTCAAAAATATCAATGGGTTTCCTTCAACAGTCAACGACAGGCTTTACTCAGTCAATTTTGCCTCCTATGGGACATATGTTTGTGTTCTTTATAGCAATTTTGTAGGTGCAGTTCCCACGTGAGTGGGTTACATATCTTTCACTATTATGAACATTTATGATCATCGAGTCTGGGTCGAAAAGCAAAGACAGTTGGGCAAGGATCGACGCCCTGTGACCAGCAGATCTCTGAGAATATTCACCCGTTCACATGCTATTCATTATCAACGATCATTGTGACCATTCGAATCACACTTAGTCATATCTTATATCAAATCAACAAGACTCCCCCTCAAAAGATCTAACTAAATGCTCTTTCTCATCATATCTTTGTGATATGTCCTTCCTAACAATAGTGCTTCTGCCTACTCCAACATCTAAAAAAATATTGTTTAAAATTTTGAGGTTTCCTCAAGTATACGATGTTTTGTTCAACCTGAAAGGATTTTAATTATTTCAGCATAATCTGCTTACTTTAATTTCAAATTAAGGTCTTGAGGTACGCATACGTATTAAGTTACGCATACCTATCCCGAGATACGGTGGGACTAATGCTCATCTGCACGATATATTGCACCACGTTGTCCTACCTTTATGTCCTCGAAGTGCACGTCGTTCGTTGGCAAGTCTGTCCAGCGTCCATTGGGCTGCAGCATCTTGATGACCGGCTCCCTGCCCAGCCCAGACCTCGGGGCGCAGTGAGGGATGGCAAGAGAAAATGGCTCTTCAAACTGCACAAAAGGTTCAGTTATAAAAAGGTGGAATTAGTTAAATAGCTTGGAACACCTTATATTTCACATTCCAATCCCCTCGTTCAATAGCAAACCATTCTGATGCGGTAAGACATTCATTCACACGTACATATATGATTATATTGTTGTCCTTCACACATCATTATATTACAGGCGGATCCAAGGGGATGGAACCGGAAAGTTTATTAAATGACCATTGCAACTCTCGTAAAAAAGAAGTTTACCCACCCGTCCACCCTTTCTCAAGAGTGTTCATTCACTCATTATAATTGGTATGACTGTCTGTTTTTAGCAGCGTCGTGCTTTAATTCCTGAAAGCTCCTTGAAACTTTCTACTAATACAATGTATACGTTGTAAGACTCGTACCGTGAAGGATTTCTCTTTGTCGTTTGGCTGCACATGCACAATGTTGCTTATGAGTTCCTCGTTTTCATACAAAGACAAAACCCCGGAAAGTTGGTCCAGTCGCTTCACCTCCACGTCGTCACGTGACATGCTGCCCTGTATTGCCCGGATGATACAGCCAACACCAGGATCAAAGTCACCACCGTCAATACTGTATCTGTTGATGAAACGAGGACTCGTATCACTCATGTAATGATGATGTTATGGAAACTTAATGGTAAGGACCACTGGAACCGAAAACAGATGCACTCGAATAAGATCAGGAGATTGATCATGCAAAATATATTCACCTTTTCTCTTACTGGACCACATGGACACGTGGACAGACCGTCAGCCCACAAAAACTAATTAAGATCGGTGTTACGACCAAAAGACGTTCAGACGTGGTATTTGTTGTACCCTGCCGAGCGTTCAGTATTAAAGGGATAAAACAAGAAATGTCGGCTTGAATTCATGACACTGTATCTAGGTATTGTAGCCATGTTAAAAGGCATCTTAGTGGGCTGGTACAGTAAACCCTCATTAGGGATACAATCAGACACACGTGGAATCAGGTTGCTGTAGGGATACACATATCTTGAACTTCACGTTACACCTCATTTTTACCTCACTTCACTCTTCTGTTACTGAATCAAAATGCCCATACCAGTGATTGTCATGACACTCCAATGGACACATCCCCTTTGTAATCATTATTTCAGTACTTTAAAACAAGGGAACATATTTGTGGTCAGTGGTGTAAAGTAAGGGAACATATTTGCGGTCAAGACTGTAACGCATTCATATATTCTTGTGGTATCAATGTATCGTTATCAAAGGTACTCACATGTATCGCGGCCAGTTCTTCGGATTCTTCCTCTCTGCCTCTCTGGCCTCTCTCTCATCCATCTCTCTCTGCCTCTCATCGTCAACAGATGTTCCTTTCCTCTTCGCTTCTTCTGCCAACCTCTTCTCCTCTTCCTTACGCTTCTTCCTGTCTTCCTCTGCTTTTATCTTTGCCTTCGCTTCAGCTTTTTTCCGCGCCTCTTCTTCCACCCTTTTCTTCTCTTCCGCTGCTCGTTTTGCTTCTTCGGCTGTTCTGATAGCATCATCTGCATGTGCTCGAGCCTTTTTGGCTGTGGCTTCCGCTTCTGCTGCGTCAGCCTCGGCCTGGGCAATGATCTCGTGAGTTTCCGCGACACCACTCGTTGCATTAGCGAGGGCTGCGCGTGCTTCTGCAGCCTTTGCAAGTACAGCTTTTTCCTGCGCCGTCCTTTCCTCTCTCAGACGGAATTCTGTCGATAAGATTGGAAGACACCGTTTAGGACCCAAACCATTGCCACAACAAGACAGAGAAACACAAGACTCATCTGCATTTATCTGGATTTTAGGTTTAGGCCATGACAGTCACCTAAATGGTCACACTAACCTTTACATTGCTCTTATCATAGGGGTATACGGCATATATGTTCTAGACTGTTAGTGGTGTTGACTTTCATTATAATTGCAAGCCCTCAGTGGCTGTGGAGTGAGTGAGTGAGTGTGGTTTTACGCCGCTTTTAGCAATATTCCAGCAATATCACGGCGGGGAACACCAGAAATGGGCTTCACACATTGTACCCATGTGGGGAATCGAACCCGGGTCTTTGGCGTGACGAGCCAACGCTTTAACCGCAAGGCTACCCCACCGCCCCTTCAGTGGCTGTGGAGGCTAGGTTTGTGAATTTATGTGCTGGTGCCTTACTCTGAAAGTGTGTGTTCTATACGAACGGACTTCACTAAACAAGTACCAAAACACTTTACAATGAAAGTTTAACTCGACATATGGTATTTAATCTCATGAAACTTTCTGAAAATAGGAATGGTTGTTTATGTGAGAAGTTAGATCGATGTTTAGTCTACAGTAATTGTGTTTATATGCCATTTTACAACTAACTGAATTATCAAGAGGATAAATTGTTCTATCAACCAATACCTGTTAAAATGTAAAGGGTTTCCGGCCATTACATGACGTGTGTTAATGTATACTATGCCCCTGGTTACAATATACAAGGATAACACTCTATTCACCGCATGCCCACTTAACATAACATAAAGTGTTCAGAAATGATTGATGTGTGAGAATCATTCAACACATTGCATATGTATGTTATTCTGCGATCTATAGAGGCCAATGTATCAGAGAGCTGTAATTCATCGGTTATCAATACCCTATATTAACCACGCATTCTAAGTATCAATCACATGTCATTGATCTTTGGCGGGTATGTATAATCAAAGAAATAAAGCACTTCTCACTTTCTCTCAATAACACATTAAGAAGCAATAAAATTAATCAAAGTCTTGGAGGGCAATAATACTGGAGTGTTTATATCCCGAGGAACTGTATATACCTATACGTGTGTTTACCGGGTGTTAGTGGGGAGTTTGATATTTATTTGGTTAGGAACTTTATCCTGTCTTATTTGAATTATTAATTTCATTAATATAAATGATTATGTTGTTAATGACATTGTCATCAGTCAACGGGTTTACTTTATCTCGAGTTTAGCGCAAGAATACAGCGATTTTGATGTGTGTTGATAAGTTACAATGTAGAAACCAACAGGCTATTCCAATAATAGTGGTGGTGTGTGGTCCTGTGCATAGAGCCAGGGCCACAACTTGGTGGCGGAGAGTCTTTGGATGGGTGACTCCTGAGAGTTTCTAGGGCTTCAGTCCTGCCCCACAACGAAGCACACATGGCACTTGTCGTCTCACCTCAGGCAAGTGTGTTTATTCATGAGTTGCCTCTGTTCACCCAGCAGTGAATGGGTACCCGAGGGGATACATCATGTGAATATAACCTTCTAGCGCCTAGCGGGCAGCTTGGGTTATCAGGGTAAAAATGCGTTAGCGCTTTGAGTGAGTGAGTGAGTGAGTTTAGTTGTATGCCGCCCTCAGCAATATTCCAGCTATATGGCGGCGGTCTGTAAATAATCGAGTCTGGACAAGACAATCCAGTGATCAACAGCATGAGCATCGATCTGCGCAATTGGGAACCGATGACATGTGTCAACCAAGTCAGCGAGCCTGACCACCCGATCCCGGTTAGCTCTTTGAGCCGGTACAAGTGCGTGGAAACAGGCGCTTTATAAATGTCCATTAACAGTACTATATATACATGCTTGATCAAGCAATATCTAAAATATATTTAGTTAATTTACAAAAAGTAAACCCATAAATACATATGCGCAATATTGTTATCGTATCAAAACAACATTGTTTTACGCCGCAGTGCTACGTATTAGAAAATCGGTGGCATATAAGACAATCTTATCCTTATCTATATGAGTACTGAAAACGTAAATCTGTGGATTATATATAATTATTTTGATTTTTGAAACTAAGAACTCAAAATTCCAGATTTACTGGTGCTGCCGGCTATGTACAATGGTTTGAAGGAGCACAATCTTATAGTCGTTGTCTCTGAAAGCGGTGAAAGATCAGTTTGGGAAATTATGGAAAACCACACAGCCACGCTTTCAATACATGCATATTATCAGCTACTTTTGCAATCGGATGTATGATGCAAATTTATGCATGTCATCAACTATGAATTCTAGGAATCGAATTGCACTATTGTTGTAACAGAGGGTACCCGTGAAGATCCGGGTTAGAATTGATCTTCAGTAACTCATGCCTGTCGTAAGAGGCGACTAACGGGATCGGGTGGTCAGGCTCGCTGGCTTGGTTGACGCATGTCATCGTGTCTCAGTTGCGTAGATCGATGCTCATGCTGTTGATCACTGGATTGTCTGGACCAGACTCGAGTATTTACAAACCGCCGCCATATAGCTGGAATATTGCTGAGTGCGGCGTAAAACTAAAGTCACTCACTCACTCATTCTCGCCTGTAACAGAAGGTATTTACAGCTCAAAGTCATTCTTTGGTCAGCAACTACAAAATATAATTAGAACATGCTTTTACAGTCCGTATAAACATGCCAAATCAATACAAATAATGTTAAAGGTTCATGATCGGGGAAAGATATATTGCACGCATTACACCTTTACTCGAGATACCTCATATGGAAAGACCTGGAGTGCATGTTTTATGTACACGTAGAAGCAAACATCGCTATAATCAAAACACGTTTTATCTATCCGGGGTTATGAATGACCCTCCATAACGTTAAAGTGCTTGCACGAGATCCGCGTGCCCGGTTGACATTTACCTTCGCGTTAATAACATGATTTATCTCAATGAACCACACCTGAGAATAGCTTAAAAGCTTGCATTAGTAACATTACCTTTAGTTACACGAATATAAGCAATACACCCAAACCGAGCGTGACCTGAAGGCAGGCATTGAACAGTTGAGAACACCTCTATATAGCCTCTGACTATACAGAATGGCATTTGTCGGTTTACAAACCTGACAAGACTGTAAGTGTTAACATCTGTTTGTTCACTTTCAACTGGCACACAATTCAATTGACCGAGCTCCGCGGGGGTCTGTTTCTATACATACAATTCTGAAAACGAATGAAAATAATCCCCAATAACGTTTTTTTTTCTGTCGTGTTAATTTGACATTTATGTTAGATCATTCAGCATTGTGATTTGATGTGATTGATAGGGCGTAGAATACGGTAACATTTCTGTGGAGGTTTGTCTTGGAAGATTGCTACTTCGCAGGAATATCACAGAGGTTCGTCTGAAAATATTTGATATTGATTAACTCCATATTATGAAAAATGATCAATTCATTCATGACGTTCCGTGACCACGTCTGTAGAAAATGTTAATTTGACTGAGGAACAGTTGGGTAAACTGATGAAACAATTTCATAGCTGAGCACGAGTAAAAGCTGACTACGTAAAACACAAACACTGAACGAAGGTTTTATACGTTTTCGGCGTTGAAATGTACTATTAAATTCCAAGTGTCTGAACTGACCTCAGTTATATCACAGCGTATCAGTGTACTGACAGAGGGCCACAAATGATGCAGGTTTTTTATGAAACCATGAAACACGACAATGGTGCTGACAAACAAGGATCTTGGATTCGAACCAACGATCATAACATTCAGAATGATGCGACTCTGTGCCTCAATGGGGTGGTTAAGACCACTAAATCTCGAACGGTGAACAAAATTATACTATTTCAATACTTCAGGCGCAGATGTAGATACACAGACGCTTATGGTTTACCGGTAGCACTCAGAATCTACCTGTGTACAAAGAACAGTGGGTTATGGTATACTGCAGGATGTTATACTGTTATTTCCACTCTCAACTCTGGCCTAATGGATATCGGAAGTAATCAAAGATTGTGGAATCATTTCATTATAAATAACAATATAGCCTCCGGGAATTCTTCTTCAGGAACATGAGAAGTCCATTTACATATAGGAATAAATGATCCTTTTGATGAAGAGAAATGGGGAAATAATAAAATATCATTAAGTACGGAAGTAGTACATAAAGCAGCGTGGTAACCTAGCTGTTAAAGCATTCGCTCATCACAGCGAATACCATGGGCAAAATTTGCTATATGAGTACATTGGTAAAGGACTTTCTTTTTTTATTTCCCCGCTGTATTACGTATTGATAGAGAAGCCAGTCACCGTACTCACTTAAAAGCTTTAAATAAACATCAAGTTTCTGAATAATTTACATATAAGCTTTTGGAATATTGCTGTAGGAAAATATGAAACCTCTATATGCAGCAGATAAGTATCATTTACAACTTCAAAAAAGGAAAAGGAGTATAAAGTAAATTGCAATGAGTTGCATTAAGGTTTTCAACGTAACATGCATTTGTTTTGTGAATATGGACGTTCAACTATAGGAGTATGGGTTGCTTTTCAACTACTTTTAAAACAAAGCGTTATATTTCAAGCTCTAAACGATACCAGTTTTCACCAATGTCAGTTGTATTTTCCAATACTCGATGATAAACGTTGTCAGCAGTTGTATGTGGACCCTCTAGAATATCAAATGGTTGGTCCTTTATACACACATGAAAGGCGCAATCACCTAGAGTCACATTCAGTGATTCACAGAAGTCGATGAATGAATCCAAATGTGCATATACTAGTATATCAGTACTGCAATCCCATAATCGGCGAAAAATCAGCGATGAGAATATCAAACTTAATGTTAATACAAATATATCTTGTAACATGATAAAATATAATTCATGTAGCATTTGCTGTGACTTGGTGTCATGTTCCTGCTTCTGACAGGGACAACCTGACTCCACAATGTTAAAGTTCATTGCACCTCCAACCCTCTTCATCACCCTT